GATCACATGTCAAATGACATGTAGATGAATGTTGAGATACTATATAAACTCCCACATGAAAAACAGACTAAAGAAATCATTTAAGATGAATTAACACTTTGAACAAGATCTGGATTCTCTTTACTAAATACCTCTTCTCCAGCTTCTCTAATCAGTTTTACATGGTACAAATGAAGTTACATCATGACACCTGTTTTAAGAAGATCATCACAAGCATTTTGGTATTACATTGATAATAATATGCAAGTAATAAATATAACATTTAGTATTTTTAATAACAAACACAATCTCCATCTAACCCTTGTGTTCACAGATAAAATAAAATCTCATTACAACAGGAGTTGAAACAAACACAAACAAAAACAGGGTAAAAAAATAATCACTGATGGCACAAATACAGATTTTGTTTAACTCAGGCCTCAGGGTAGTAAAATCTGCTTCCTATCACATCTCTAGCTGGTGACATTCACCTGATCTTTTAGGACAAAAACACAAGAGTGGTGAGAACATGAGGGAAAGGCAGCAGTCACGACAGAAGGAACAGTGTAGTAGGATCTATGTAATATACATGTGGATATCCATATCAACATTTAAATTCACTATTTTTCACAGCATTTGTAGCCAAAGTAGTTCATTGATTCATGCAGAATAAAACTGTGGATTACTTGTTAAATGCAGCATTACAAACATCTTTATTTGAATTCATTTTAGCACTCCTTTTATAAAATATAAAAGTTTGCTTTGTACATGTTTGTTTGATCATATTCATTCGTTCTCTTTGTATCAGACTGTTGTCCTGTCATGCTTGTTGTAAATCCATGGTTTCTTTCACATATTTTAAAACATGTTTAGTGTATAGTATGTATTGATGTATTTCTATCAGACCTGTCCAGGGTGGACCCTGCCTCTCAGCCAGTGACAGCTGGGATAGCGCCACCAATATGGAGACGGCCAGACTTGAGTTTCAAAACCGCTCGTCAGAAACCCAGTGGATGACGTAACAGTCAGTGATTTTTATGAAACAATCATTCTGCCATTATTACTTAAAACATATTCTAGTGTACATCTAGTATAATGCATCATCTCTCAGACATGATGTGAAAATAAACTGTTGGGTCAGTTATTATTTACAGTAACATGCATTTCTTCTGCATTTCTTTTGCAGAATAGCAAAATTATTTTTTGCATTAAAATAGGTAAATGGAGGAATTTGTGAGAAAAGGCTGCTGATAGAAACAAAGCAGTACTTCAGGCTACAAATTCTTTAACTCAGTAGAAGTATTCCAGTGTTCCAGTGAAGGCAGCAGAGGTGTCATTCGCTGGAGAGGTGCTGGAAAACAAAACCCATGCAAAGGAGGCTGTAGGACAAAAAGACCAACGAGTTTCCAACCAGAATGGCTATCGAGGTTTCTGGGACTGAGAGGGCAGGAAGGAGTGAAACAATTTAAGGAAGGAAAACAGAGGTGTACTTTGACAAGTGGGCTCTGAAATACCTCCTAGGCTCTCTGTCTCCATCTTAGCTTCAGCACTGTCTGCTGCCTGGATTTGTTTCAATAACGGACTCTCCTCCACATCTGAAAACACGATGTTGGTTTGGGTGTTTCAGTAGAAGAGCAGAAGATGGAACATACAGCAGCTGGATAAATTGCATTAAAAGTATGATAAGAGGCCCGTATTCAATGAACCAATGAAGAGTGTGTGTTGCATCATCAGAAAGACATGCTATATACTTAACCATAAATAATGAATTGATAGTTTAATTGTGGTTTAAAAAACAGGACACTGTGGTCCTTCATATGCAAATGATAAGTCAATCTCATGATTTCACCATCTAATATTTACTTGTGACGGCCTGGTGTTTAGTGCAGTCGCCTCCCAGCAAGAATGTTTGGGGGTCGAGCCCGGCCGACCCGGTGCCTTTCTGTGTGGGGTCTGCATGCTCTCCCTGTGCCTGTGTGGGTTCTCTCTGGGTGCTCCAGCTTCCTACCACAGTCCAGACATGAAGCTTAGGTTGACTGGTGACTCTAAATTGCCCCTAGGAAAGAGGTTGTGTGTGGTTGTCTGTCTCTATGTGTCAACCCTGGGATAGGCTAGTGACCTGTCCAGGGTGGACCCCGCCTGTCGCCCAAAGCCAGCTGGGATTGGCTGCAGCCCCCCATGCAACCCTATTCAGGAATAAGCGGTATAGATAATGGATGGATGGATATTTACTAGTAGGCCAGACCATTATAATTCTCAACACTTCATATAAGAAAAAAACCTCATATATATAAAATATTTTGGAACTAAGATGTACAAATTGTACAAGGTGTCATCAATGTAAAATATAAAAGTGTCTGCATACCATAACACAATGAATGTTTCAGAACCAAATACCTGGGATTATATTGGAAAATGCTCCATATATACACAAACGTTGAAGTACAAATATATAGTTTTGATCACAAATAAGACTCACTGTGTGCTTAGTGCTCTTTTCAGCTACGTTACGGCATCTCAACTTGATTTGCATATGTTTTAGTCATTACAAGAGAAAACAGACTCCCTGATCTCAGTTGCTTTTGCAGCAATTTCTTAACAGTATTTTTGCATTGTACATATTTTTTATTTAAGTTTTGACCATCATTCATATCTTATATTTTACTGACCAACTTAACTCTAAGATAATTTACTTTTAACCATAACTAAATCACAAACTGGAACTAAATGACCAATTTCTTTACACTTTGCAGAGAGAGGCATGAAAATATTAGAGGTAACTATGAGAGCTTCAACATATCTGTGAAGAAATATGATATAGAAAACATCCAAATAGTCAGAATTCTTGGTTATCACTACTGAAACACACTAGTCTTCAACAGGAGAAAAATGAAACAGTACTTTGACTCCTAAACAAACCTGTGATTCAGGATAACGTATTCAATTTAGCTGGCAGTGGCAGAGAATTAAGTCAGGCCACTTATAAAGCACCTCCATTGTTGCTCAGGAAATTCAAAGACATAAAATCAAATGTATGAAGTTTATCTTTAGACTCTTTCACTTTGTTCCTAGTGATCAGTGGGATGTGAAGCTGGGGAAACGTACAGATGAGTTTCATGTCACCGGCCTTAAAGAACAAAGGAGGACTGATCAAAGCATCTCTGCTTCCTCATGAGCCTTTTCAGATGAGCTCAACTGGAGCTCATCATGATCATGACCTGTAGATCTGGGTCTCAGTCTTTGTTTCTAGGCTTGACTTGGTCTCCGAGGACCAAAAACAGAAGGCATATGACTGAAGTGTGTGTGTATATGTTTGCTTACCTTTGCCCTGGCAGAAGTCCAGCTGAAGGATGGTCTGCATCAGCGCGTCGGTGTTGAGGGTGAGGTCAAACTCAGGGCCGACCTTTGGCTCCTGGGTGCCTCTCACCCACTGGTCCTGAGACGACATCACCCGCTTGATGAGGGCTTCTGAGATCTACATACATACATACACATAAACAAGTTAAGGTTTGCAGACAGTGTGGGAAATAAGCACAGGAAAAACACACACACAAGAACTGAGAGCACCTGCATTCAACAGCTCCATATAGATATGCTCGCGTTCCGTTCCATGCGTGGCTTCATTACATTGTGTCTGACAAGTGAAATATGGCACGCATTAGTGCAACTCAAATATTTAACGATATGAATTAAACCCCTCGTTTGCTGGTAAGAGCTTCGCCACTTCAGGAATAAAAGCTAAGTGAACACATCCCATTAAACTGCACCCAACTGCAAAACATGTAACTGCTATCTCCTTGAAAGGTAAGACATGAGCTGAGCATTAAAACACAGATTTAATGTAGGTTTATTTTCCACTTCAGATTAGTTGAATTTACAAATGTGAGCTTTTATTTCAAACTAATATCCATCTTCAAATCCAGCCATCCAGCCTCTAGGTAGGATTTTGGCACTGGCAGCCATAAGGAAGCACATAATCAACTTACTATAAAATGATAAAATATTAAGATGAAATAGAAGGCTGTGGATGTGTGTGTCTGTTCCTCGGGAGTGTCTCTGATCTCTGTTTCATGTCTCCCTATCACCTTACACTTTTTCACTTGTGCTATCTTATCTCCAGGAAGGAAAATCATTCAGAAGCAGAACCACAGCAGAAATCGAAATAGCCTTACTGTAAATGTAGCTGGGGGGGTTGGAGACAAGCATACGTTCTTTATGTTTCTGCTTTCTGTAGGCAGCATTTCTTCTTTGTATTTGTTTGACCCTGGCTTTTAAACCCAATATATACAAAAGCATGAAAGTCTGAAACTTACACATTTGATCAAGGTGACAAATTATATAAATAACCACAATTAGGCAAAGACATATTTCATGGTTTTCAAGTTATTTGAGCTAAACATGAAGAAACTCAAAGGCCCATTACATATGTTTGGGCCAGTTAGATCCCAGAGACATACAAAACTCCACTAAGAAAGCTCAAAATGAACTTATTTGGAATTTGTGCTTCATTCTGTAAAAGGTCCTGTCAATACCGATCAGAGATACAGAGCATATAAGACTCAACTGTATTTAATTCTGTTTCAAAGCTGAGGTCTGTGAAATATTATGATGAAAGCTACACTTTTATGTCTTTTTTTTTAAGCTGGGTCACATGTCACATTTGACCTTCCTTAGTTTGAGCATCTGAGCCTGCTGATAACTAAAGATGTCAGGTGAATTAAAATTAGATCAGCTGCAGTGTTAGAAAAGCAAATCAGATGCATCCTGTGTGTGTGTGTGTGTGTGTGTGCAGGCAGGCGTACGTGGTGTTATTATTCTCACATCAGTACTGAGTCTCCCTCTGGCTGTGTGGTGTTTTTTTTTTGTTGCGCTGGCGTCAGAAACATCAGAGGTTTCCTGCAAAGATTGTTTCTCCTCTTACAAAACTAAACATCACACGTCTTCCTTCAGTTTTTACATTTACATTTTTGGTTGTAAACACTTCAGAAGGTTTATTCGAGTTAAGTTTTGGAGACCTCATACTGTCTTTACCTTGTGTATAATCGTAGAAACTTAAACTTCAGTTAAAGGAAGAAGTTTTAAAAGGAGAAGGAGTCTTTAGGGGCAATGTGAATAATACATTCCCTGCCTTATTCTTTAATTTTTTTCTTCACTGCCTGGTGAAAATCATGAATTTCAAAGTGTGGTGATTTTGAATTTTTCTGAAATGTTACATGTTGTTGTTTGAGCTTAGAAAGTCTCCTGTCATGTAACCCAAGTTATTACAACAAGCCACTGGACAATGTGAAAAATGCATTGCAACAAAACCGTGCAGTGCCATTTTAATTAGTTTATGAAACATTTACATGTTGTACTTTGCTGTGTAAGAAAAGAGAGCCTGCAGCTTCCTACACCTACAAGTATGAAACAAGGAGAAAGCTGAATGTTGTGGCAAAACACACAATCTTACACACTGGGGGGTCAGATACCTGTAGGAATCCACTGGGATCATTCTCTTTGAGGACCTCCAGACAGAACTCCATCATGCCGGTGGTCTGACGTAGCTTCATGGTGCAGTGGGTGATTTGGTCTCGCACCACCTGCCAGACACAGGTCAGACAAAGCAGCTGTTAACGGGTACTGTACAGAACAGGGCTTCTATCATGTTTCAGTGCTTTTAAACCACAATTATTAGATAATGGGCCCTTGATGTGACAATTTTGTTCATGTCAAATTAAGTTCTGAGAGAATGTGGCTTATTTTGCAGCCTCAAACCAAACACCTCATATACCAGCTGCACTCCATTTAACCACAATTTCCTGCTTCCACATAAAAAATGTCAATAATCATGACCAAATGGAGTGCAGCAAGCAACAACGACAAGACTAATTATGAAAAAAAAAAAACTGAGGGAAGCCCTTCACCATCAGAAGACAGAATAACGAGAACACCTAATATGTGAATTAATATCCATCACACTTTAAGCACTTTGAATTGCCTTTGTGTGTGAAAATGTGTGCAGGTGGACCAGGTGATTGGAACTTAGTGGTTGGCAACATGAACATGAAAAAGGTGCAGAAATGTAAAAGTGGCAGGTGGCATGACACTATAATTCCATGGTTGGAGCACATCTCACAAAATCCCTTAATATTCCTGGCACACTATCACCCGTATAATCCCTGTTTCAGCATGTGATGCAATAGACAGAAAAAGCAGGAAAAAGAAAGATCAAGGTGAGGTGAGCATTTAACGAAAACATGTTATCAGCCTCAGCCAGACAAGTGCCACTTTTTTTGTCACTCTCGCCATCACACACACACACACACACACACACACATCGGCTTTCGTTACTCATGGGAACTTTACATTGACTTGCATTCATTTCTTGGACACTTACCCAAACCTGAAAACATAACCACGTCTTGTCTTACTCCAACCTTAAACAACATCGTCACCCTAAAATTCAGTGGTTTACATGGTGAAGACCAGCATCTGGCCCCCACGAGGAAGCCCAGTACCCTGCAATATGTGAGTGTGTAAAGAGGTTTCAGTTCCCACAGTGTGAGTAATAACAGAGGTGCACACACACACACACACACTATCTGCTGCGTGAACTCTGGGCAGAAGGGAAATGAGATTTAGAGGGGAATCACCACAACCAGTCGTCTGAGGCAAATTGAAACTCGGTCAGCTGTCACCGCCTTCCTAGCCTTTTGTTTACATTCCCTAACACCTGCACCACATTTCAGCTGATCAACAATCTTTAATTATCTGCTCATAGTACAACTGATACATGCATACAGTGTAACCTGTACTGTGCATGTGTATGCACATGACAAATACAGCAGCTCCTCAAAGTACAGCAGGCAATTACACACTTCCAAGATAATTAATTATACCGTCAACCAGCAGCCGCCTAAACGAATCAGAGAGTTAATTAGATGGAGTCTTGGTAATTAGTCACCTCTTTTATCTCATGGTTAATGAAATCACAGATCCTTATTCACCTGTCAACTGCTGTCTGACCTGAAACATGAAGACCATGAAGAGTCAGCTGAACAAGGATCAAAATTATCTTCAGCCTGAGCATGTGTGTGTATTTACATGGCAATACATTGTGAGGACCATTTGGAGTCTTATATCATGGGGGTGAGGACAATTGGGCTGGTCCTCACCTTCTCATACATACTTCTTCCAAGGCATGTTCAGGTCTGGGGCTGTCCTTGTAAATTTAGTTATGAGTACAATGGTTAAAGAATGAATCGAACAAAAATACAAGGTGTATAAATTAAATAAACAATGTATTATTGTACCTATATGTCACCTACAGATTATCATGCACCTGGAATTTACCTTTAGCAAAATACACACAGACACTGAAATGATTTACAAAGAGAACATTTGCTTTCCAGTTCAGATCCCTGCTCTTATCTCCTTTGTACACATCTTGGAGTATGAAGCGTGAAGCCTGAGTAAATCTCAAATTTATTTTAATTTCCTCCTGTCTCGCTGAGACGAGCCGTCAGCTGCCTCCTACATGCTCCTGCAGGCCTGGTTAAAAGGCTGTATCTGACATGAAGGTGATGGTGCCAATACTGAAACATGTTAATGCAAGCCCAGATTTAAGATACCAGACAGCTAACGTGACTCTCATCCTCAAACACATTTCACATCGCTGCAATAACTTTGCTTGTATGATGCCTGACATTGGACATTCATGCACAAACTGATGAAATTAAGCTGTGTACATTACCGACAGACAAATCCAGAGTATTTCTGGCTGTTCTCTGAAAGAGGAAACCAAAATATGTTGCTTTTAAGGGATTAATGTTTTACTTTTTTTTTGGTTTTCTGTCTGATTAGAGATGTTTTTACAAAAGGCTTCTACGTGCCGTTGAAAAAAGAAGACGGCAAAGAGTGATTTCAAAGTCAGGAAAGTAAAGATGCACTGAAATAGATGATGTTTTACTGGCATTTTTAAATCAAAATGAGTTGTGCTTTCCTGCAAATGCAGTTACATAACCTTGACGCATTTTGCTTGAAGTCATCCAAAAGCAAACACAAGCTGTGTTCACTCCAGAGAAGCATGTATAGATAAGCTGTATATGTTTGTCTGAGTTGTGGGAGTAGTGGGAAAAATCCTGATTTACTTTTGCACTGTGATGTTCACTTTCTCATTAATTTGAACAAAACAATTACAAATGTTGGGTTTGAGGCCAAGTCCTTAAGTCATTGCTCTTTTATTTTGTTTTGCCTCCACATGAATAGGAATGTGCAGTAATCTTTAGATCCACTAGGGATACACATTGTCCAGATGAATATGTATTCATGCAGATCTCTCCATGAATGGCAGTTCATCAGACATCTACATGCATCTACTCTTCTCATGTCCCCGCTTCCTCACAGCCTCCAGCTCGTTGCCCTCTGGCTAAATCTCAATCCCCAACCTGCAGATTATGACACCAGCGCCCCTCCCTCCCCTCAGCCAGATGGTCAGTCGGTCAGTGGGCACATTGAGGCTGGGCATGCGTCCCTGTGATACGCTGACATTTAGGATGACCCCAGCAGTAGATTAACAAAGGAAAGTAAAAAAATAAAACTGCCAGGCAGACATAATTCAGTTTACAAGCGGAGACCTGAAGATTTTCAGATATTAAAGGCCTCAGCTTTTTACAGTTCACTATTATCTTTCAAAGTTACAAGAGAACTGGTTATTTCACATGAGAGATTTCTCTGTTGGAGATCTTCTCGCTAGTTTGAATAATGTATTTGAGAGAGGGGTGTTATCAGGTAGAAAAAAAAAAATTCTTAGTTTAGTTTTATTTACATTTTACACAGCGTCCCAACTTTTTTGGAAATGGAGTTGTGGATGACTGTTTGTATTCTCCTGTTAGTACCAGTGTTAACAGAAATGATGGTACGTTAGCGACCCAGCTGTCTCACCTTCAGTTTGTACTCTTTCTCCTTGGTGACTTTGGTGAGCAGTTTCGCTTTCTGTCTGGTCAGTGCCTCAATCAGAGAGTCACACTGCGCCACAAGGCAAGCCTCAAACTCCACGCCGTTCTCCTGAAGCAACAGCACAAACACACACAAAAAAGGAAATCATCAAAAGGTTTTGTAAACCTGACGAGGAACGTGAACAAGGATGAAAACCAACATGAGGGAAACGGTTTAGATCAGTACAACGTGAACAAGGATGAAAACCAACATGCAGAGGGAAACGGTTTAGATCAGTATGACGATGACTTTTATTCCGAACTTCCACATGTTTTTCTCTTTATCTCTCTCTCTAGCTCTCAGAGCAAAGCTGTGCTAAGAGTTTTTCCTGTAACTTACATTTAATCCTCTTCATTTTACAATGAGAATTAAAGCCTGTTGCAGTGCTAGAAAACTAGACAACAGCTGGTCATAATAGAACAAAAGATATTTGTGACCTCCAGTGTCAAAGTCAGACATTTTACAAGCTCAGCCTGTCTATAGTACTGTCTATACACTACAGCGCCATCACGCTGCTTCTGCCTTTGCTTCTGAGAGACAACAGACATGATTCATTCAGAGGTCACATGTGAAAAAACATTATTAAAGGTTGTTTTGGCTTTGAACAAACTGCAGATACTGTTTTCTCCTATGAACAGTCTCAATTTACTGTGAGTCATTTTTTGAGGCGTAATAACAGCTCGCTGTATCTCCAAAGTTTAATAACCAACGTTCAGCTCCACGCTGGCCTCTGAATCATTACCATCTCCAGCACCGATTTATTAAGCAAGTCAAAGGGAAAACATGTCCGTTCAGTCTATAGGTTGTCTTCAGATCAGCATAAACTTAACAAAACAAGGATCTGGCAAAGCAAAATTAACTGTAGTGGTAAAACAGGTGCCACCCCTCGCCTCACATTTTTGTAGCTGCATTGCATTCTGGGCTATTGAGGCTAGTGTTTGTGGAGAAATTGGTATCTGCCTCTTACATTACAAATTCCTCCCAGTACACAAATGACTTGTCACCGATAGCAAAAAACATTAAACCAACATTACAGGACATCTTCTAATCTATGGCTGTATATTGTAGGTAGTTGTGTGAAGAATATATTTCAGATCAAATTAAGTATCCAGCTGTTAACCTGTATCTGCTGAAGCATGTTTTTCAGTTGAACCAGGAAGTCCTTGGCATCTTTAGCTTTGTCGGAGACTCCGTTCAGGGCCTGGGAGAGCTGGCACTGCAGAGACACACAGCAAAGCATAACAATTAAAAACAAAACAGTCTTTTTTCCCGTACCTCTTCTCTCCATTTTTTTTATTTCTTGAAAACTACATGTCCTTCAAACCCCTCAAACAGTAAAAACTGAAATTACGACCTTCAAAATATACCTCGATACTTTGTTTACGGTGGTCATCACCTTCAAACAATAGCTGAAGTGGCTCATAGAACACAGAGCCAGATATTAGTCCTGCTCCTATTGTGGCAAACTGTGTAATCAGTCCAACCAGTGATACACTGAGGCTTTTCTGAACATGTCAGTTATGTAACCAATTAACCCAGCAGCCCATTCTCCCCGGATATTCAGATTGTGTAGGATGGTAGCCTGAAGCAAAATCACCCAGGATTTCTGGGCTGTGACTCTGCATTGTCTTTACAATAGGGACTGACTTCATAATCTGACTCTGATCTAGATCAGAGTAGCTCCATGTAGGTCTTTCTTAATACTGTAGCAACAACAAATGAAATAAATGAGCCAGAATTAAACAAATAGAGATAATGAAATAAATAATAACAAAAAACTCATCATAAACATTTGGTCATCCTTGTGCACTATCTCTTTACTGTCATTAGCAAAGACACAATCTCTTATAACATTTAGACCAATGCAACAAGACTAATCGGCTTGATACTGTTTGATCCGCAATGATTTCTATCTATTTATTCTCTCCTAAATGGAGCACTTCCTCCATACAACACCTACAGGGAACATGGATTTATAATTCATAACATACCGTATAATATTCTCTATATCACTATCAACAGGTACTGTAGATGTTCTGGCTGTTACAGATTTGAAAGCTGTTAAAACTAAGTCATGGAACATTATTGACCAGACAAAGATGAGTTTTTAGCACCTGTGTGAAGCCTGGTTTGGTTGAAACCCTGATTTTGTTGGTTACCAGTTCATTTCCAGAAATATGGCACGTGCTGTCTGGAGTCAGGTAGAGGGACGTGCGGAGGTCATGGTTCACAAATCAACCCAACCTTTCTGCTGAGCTTTCGCTGTTCCTCACCAAGAGGCCATCTGGCCCAACAAGCTGTCTGGCTCATGTGTGTATGTGTGCATTCATGCCAATATGCTAACAAGGGGATGACGGATGTACCATTTGAGGGCTGTCCTGGCACATCCCCTCCTCTCTTATTTGTCCTGTGTGGTTCTTTATTCGTTGCTTCATTCCTTTAACTGCAGCGCCTCTCATCAGGTCAAACCACATCCACCCACCTGCCTGTCTGCAGTAGCAGACCCCTTTTACTTCATTCATTTATGTCCTTAACACACTAGTCCTGCAGAGCGTGCCCCGGCATGCATTGTGTGGACAGCGGACAGACACAAAGAGTAGGTTGTCCATAAAGATATGCACCAGAAATTGTGAAGATTGTAGCAGCCGGCGTCCACGTCGCAGGTTCTTAATTTAACCACTGACATTTAAATCTCTTTTATCAGAGAGACTTCAACTAGAAGGCAGCTTAAAACATTGTCATGACAATAAATATAATACAAATGAGATAATCAAATTCAGAATTCCACTTGGTTTTCCTTGAATCCACAAGACAACTCTATAACATTACTGCTGTAATTACAAAAATACCATGTTGCTGTTTTGGTCTTTCTGTGGATTAAGAGTGATCTTAGCAGAACTTGTTTAGGATGGCATGCGGTTTGCTTCCATTTAAACTGCTCCCAAAATAAAAAGAACATGTAAAAACCTTTTGTAAGAATAACTGTTTGGATTTTTGAGAATCCGGTTGATAAAATATCTATTCATACTAAGCCCGAGTTCACTGCAAGCACAGTATCCACGTCTAAATTTGGCTACAGTCATGAGGCATCCACCTACAGCAGACCCCAGTAAAAGTCTGTATAACAGTGTTGAAATGTGACAAGTCTGCCCTGCAGGGAAAGGACCGGTGGTTGTGGAGCCAGTGAAGAAATTTGGAACAGAAATTCAGAAACATGACAAACCCATGTAGAGGAAAAGGATATTAAAAGTGGAAAAAAACAGAATGCATATCAGCGAGGATCAACGCATCTGAAGAGCAACGCTACACATACAGAAATCCAATTTTTTCCCTGCTTTGTTTCTTTTGTTCCCCTCCCCTTGACCTTTTTCATCTTTTATTATTCCTCCAAACAGGAGTGTCATTTTTCTTTCCCCCCCGTCAGCACCGCTCAGCTCTCCTCTCAGAGACAAGTGCTATTATCTCATTATCTTATAACAGGAGCAATAGAGGACTGTATATTCAGCCTGTGACATTCAGAGAGACCAGTGACATTCACGGAGGAGCGGCTCTGTTGGTTCACTGATACGTAGCAAGCAGCTGACAACAGCAAAACAGGAAAATCTGAGTGGTTGTATTTTTTATCCCAGAAAGCAAAAACTGTGAATAAAACTTGTTTAAAAACCTGCCTAATGTATATGCCAAAAATTCCAAACAGGAGCATTTGTTTAAGTTGTTGTATTGTATGGCTGCTGTTTAGTCACTTGGCTTTTATGAAACTTTGTTCATGTTCCAGAAGAAGCCAAGTGCTGGAGGCAAACACTAGACAGAAGACGGGGGCTGCTGTGAACCACAGACGAACAGTACCACAACCTTAATGTGTTTGGCTGTCAGTCAGGGAGCTGGTTGATGGTGGTGATGACCTTGTCAAAATGACACCCATGGGACATCCTGAGGAGCAGGAGGTGGGGCTGAACCCCCTCGTTTACCACACTGCCTCCCCTTTTATTCCTTCTCATTTGAGCCTTTTTGCTGTTTTCCTTTCCCCTTGACTCTAAACACTCATATTATCATGTGCTGAAAGTTCAAACTTGTTGAACTTAACTGTTCAGTTGCACTGACCTTTGTGCACGTAGCCAATCACTCTAAAGCATAGTGATCTACAGCTAGCAACATTATCATTTTAGCTAAGGTGGCACTGTTTTGTAAAATGCCCACCAGGAGTTTCTACTTGAAATGCGCCGCGCAGCACCCTCGTTTTTCCTCCATAATGTGAACATGACGGAGGAACGGCCATCAATGTTCCACTTTCTAAAGACAAAGAGTCAGCGTGCATATGACAAAGATCCACCAACATAAACACAAACCAGTTGCTGAGAATGCAAAGCAGTTTCACATCTGTAATGTAACACAGTATACTGTGAATGTTGCAGAGGGGGATCAGGTGTTTCCCAGGATAAACAATAGTTGGTGCAAACCAACCTCCCTGCCACCCCAACTATGTTTAGCGGAAGTCACTACTTGTGCTGCTATAACAGAATTAACTTGCATCATCAATCTTAACGTCAGCTGCACACCCACTGACCATCTGGTTTCTTTGCCTCTCACTACCACACACTTGGTGGTGCCACATTAATTAAAATTTAAGTTGAGTTAAATGCTAGTTTATCCATCTTTGCTGGTAAACGCCTGTGGACATCTGTCTGGAACACTGGAACACAGCGGCAGACTTTTAATACTTAACTCAGTGCAGTGCCTCGGCTAGCTACCAGGTCGCACATATACACACACGCACACGTGTGTTTGTGTGAGCTTTAAATAGACAGCATGTTTTCAGCTTGATTGATCAGAGGAAACTAGATCAGTGCATCTTCCTCTGCTTGACCTGAGCAAAAATTCATCTGCTTCACTTATGCATATTTTATGAATGTGTGTCGATGAATGTGTGCATGTCCATTTCAGTGATGCACATTTTTCCCCCGACGGAGTTTGTTGTTGGTTTCAGTGGGACATGTTTAGTGAAACACACCGCTAGTAAGTCTAGCATGAAAACAGTCACAGGTTGCCTCTCCTTTGGATCTACGTTAAGTCTTTGTCTGTAAGTAGTATTACGGTTTATTCGAGAGGATTTAATTTACTTAACGTTGTGTTTGTTAGGTGTGTTTAATGACGATTTGCTGCGATGCAGCTTTACCGTGAGAGTGATGATCTGTTGTGTTAGTTAAAGCGAGGCAACATGTAGTGTTAGTTACTGGTATTTATATAGATGGGAAGTTTAGTTCATTGGTGCAACTGTGTTGTTACAGACAACTTTGAGTGATGTTTATTTCTGTTTTATTTTCAGTCTTACAAAGAAAAGGAAAGAGAAAGTGTAACAAAGTGATCGTAGAGAAATAAAGCTGAGGAACTGGAGAGAGTCCTCAACAGGAACCTTTCTACGCCCCTTCTTTCTTCATACTGATTGTTAGCTATCTGCTAAGCTGCATAAGCTATAACATGCTGTGAGGCAGAATAACAATAATGCCCAAATGTCTGTCCTTGATATCGCTCTACATTAGTGAATAATCAAATATAGGTTTATAGGAAATACAGGATAAAGCATAAAACCCACACATGCTCACAAATGCAGTATTGCAATGACTAGACAATAAATATACAAGAAGCAGGACCACAGTGGACGCTCACACATCTGCTTTATGTTCACTCCCCAAGGAATCTGCTTGACAACTGGGGGTCTGTTTAAACCACATGAGCCACAGTGTTACTCACAGTCTACAACTGCAGGTCACACACAAACACACACATTTGTACATCCGTCTCTGTGAGAACACTCGCTGATTATAATGCATCCTCTTACCTTGACCATCACGACAGAAATCCTAACCCCAAGTTTGTCTATAGTCAAATGCTTTATCATTTACATAAACAAAACAAAATCAGCATCAACAACATCACAAAAACACAGTGTTTGTTGTCTGTTTGTTACAGGCTTTAGTGAGGGAAAGGCAGCCACTCATCGACCTCCCTCAGCACAAAGTATACCATATTAACTTAAGTGGCAGCCATCTCTTACTCACATGCTGCTCATTACTTATCAACGCCCTTTCACTCAGACTCCGATGGGATTCTCAGACCATTTATTGGACAGGGTGACAGAGGAAAAGATGGAGAAAGAGCGGGAGAAAATGAGGGTAAATAAGAGGCAGAGACAGAGAAGTAAGGAAAAACAGACACAAAGTGAACGATGAGCACAAGCCAGAGGAGAAGCTAATAAAACGCTAAAATCGTGTGATGGATAAATGATGAATGGAGTGAGTGGAGGCTTCCAATCACACATAAAACATGGCACAAACAGAGGTGAGTCACAGTGACCCACTTAGCAGGAGAGACAAAAATGGTTTTCAGTTCACACTTACGAAGTCTGAAAGCGAAGAATGGCCACGTAAATGACGGCCTTATGAAACACAGGAAGCAGTCTGATTAAAGAATGGGACACTGTTCTGCACCCTCTTTCTAGTAGTGTTCATTTTTTAACACCACTTGCTTCCTGCCAATGGGACTTTTTCACCATAGTCATACCAAGTTTTTAACACCCTGTGCAATCCAATCTGGGTTTCATCAGAATAAAAATGGTTGGTAAAGAACCAAAGTGTAGGACCCATGAAAACCTCTACTTTAGGGGTGTGGTAAGCCTATCCAATAAATACTGGGTCCACACATCTGTGTTGAGTGAAAGCAGAACATACTGTACGTTAAGGACCCATCAGGATACTGTATATTATAATGTGTTAGCCCATAATATTAAAAAAAAAAAAGCATTTTATTATGAACCACCCACTTGTTTCTACCAAGCCCCACTCATGGAAAAGGGTAGACTGTTTGCATGTTTTTGAATAAAGCTTACCTTTAATCCAGTTACCATTTGGACAAAGATAGATTGTCTATAGATTTACCCTTATAAGTCATTCTCTGGGCAGTGTGTGACCAGCATAAACATCACTGTTTTAGCCAGCGTCCTGAAGAACAACGCCAACCTCCTCTTCTGACAGTGTAGTCACTATTCATGTCACACACCTATACAGATGTGAATCAGTAATAAATGAAACTGTGTGACCTCAAGTGATGAGTCTTGTTGCACACACACACAAACACAAATACACCCACTGGGGTTTATGCTTGTACAGTAATTATCTTATGTGTGAATTGTCATTAATCACATGGAGTTCTGTAATTTACATTTGTCCTACATGCAGTAAACTCAACACAGGATTGCTACCGGCCTTTTACAGCCACTATAAGCAAAACTAATAATAAAAATTTACCCTCACTAACACAAATGGCTAAAATATGCACAGAGATCATGAAGAAATTTGTTTAAAAGCATGTAGGCTGAGTGCTAATATCTAATATACACTAGTCTATTATAACTATGAATGGCAACGTAGTAGCATCTGTGGTTGTGTGGGTGTGTATTCCTGTTTACAAAAACACAAATGCCAAAATGGCTTAAAGCCTCTTCAGGGGTTTATGAGTCTCTATCAATGAGGGTGTGTGTGGGTGTGTGTGGGTGAGTGAATATGAGTTGGCTACTGTGAGACAGAGAGAAACTACAGCCTACTGTGTGTAGCTAATAGGATTTAACAAATATTATTATTAGGATATCAGTGCAGTTATGGTTTTACAAGGCATTTAGGCTTAAAAGGTTTGTGCGCGCGTGTGTGTGTGTGCACTCACCTTGTGTTGCTTCCACATGACAGCCAGCGGTTTGATGTCGTGCTTGGCGTGTTTACCCTCCTCCAGACACTTCATACACACCGGAGCCCTGCAGCTGCAGCAGTACATGCTGAAGTTTTCCGCTTCGTGAACCACGCAGGTTGCCGGTTTCCGCCACGTCACCGACGCGTCCACGGGGTTGCGGTCGCACAGCTGGCACTTCACCGCGGTAGACGAAGAAGAAGAGGGAGCCGAGGCGGCGCGGTTCTGCTGATACCGCGCCACGATGGCCTCCAGCAGCCGGTTCCGTGGGAAACCCCGGAGCCCCCGCTCATCAAGGGAGACGCTCCGGTGGCACAGCGGGCAGGTGAGGGAGCAATGTCGGTGGGGGATGGCCGGCGGAAATACTCGCACCCCGTTGGGAGACTTGAGCTGGCACGGTGTGTAGGACCCGTAGCCGCTGTCCGTCTCGCTGTACAGACTCATCTTGTCCATGTCCAGGTAGTCGTAGTCAGAGCTGGCCGAAGCTCGGCTCTGCGCCGGGGTCTCTCCCTCCGGGGTCTCAACGGTGATGTTCCGAGCACAGCTCAGGCAGACATTGTGGGAGCACGGCAAAAGGATGGGGTCCTTGAAGAGAGAACCGCAAACGGGACATTTTAACTCTTCCTCCATCGCTCCTGTCTGTTTCGGTGGACCGAAAGGAGAAGCCGCTTCACCGAAATCACTCCAGCATCGACTGACACGGACAGCTCCCTACGCTCCTTTGCGCAGGCGCGGCGAGGGACGGGGATTGTGGGGATTGTGGGATTTGTAGGGTTTGTGGTTTGTTCACTGATCAGGTTAATTAAAGGCTCCAAAACACCACAGGTCTCCCTGATTGTCATGATATGATAAAAGGGTTACAACCAATCTGTCCTGTTTTTTCATATCTTATTTACCCAGTGTAAATTATAATTTTCGACATGAAGGTCTAAATTGTTCAAGGTCTGCACACTACCAGGAAAATAATCAGTTAGAGCTTTTAGGCACAAAGCAAGCACAAACCATGCAGTATGTGATTGTTTCAGGTGTCTTTATGGTCCTTGTGTGCATCTTTATCAACATGTTGCATCTCTGTTGATTTTTCTGCATCTTGTTCAGTAACCCATCCGTGCCTTTCATAATAATATAATCATTTATTTATAATAGTGTTGACCTAAAAGTATTGAGGTTTAAACATAATAAAACTTAAACTGCGGATAAAGAAGAAAGGAGCAATGAGATGAACAGAGAATGCTAACATAAATAAATTATATCTTGTGTGCCATATAAATTAGTACTGTGCACACATATATCTTATTTTTTCCCTAGCTGTTATTACGTGGACTTCATAAAGGCTATCAATCAAATCAATTAAATCAAATTATATAGCGCGTTTAAAACAACAACAGCTGACCAAAGTGCTTTGCAATAAATGGTAACAAGGCTAAAACATCTTCAGACTAAAAAGAACTCTAAACTAGATGTAAAACGTCCCAGAAGAGCAGTATTGTATCTGTGATCACATAACAGCAATAATAACTGAAGTACAGAGAAAAATAAATATATGAAGAAGTGCTCTGATCATTTTCTTAATAGTAATGCTATAGTGTAAAGCACTGTTACAAGTGGATATCCTTGTACAGAATCAAAATTATTAATACAGAATTCAAATTATTATTATTATTATTATTATCATCCATTGTCAAGGTTGGTGTGTGGACCACAGGCAAGGAGGGCTCAAACACAGACATGCAGGTAGATTCAGTGATGTAGCTATAATAATGATGTGGCTTCCAGACAACCTGGCAGACACAGGTGAAAGGAACAGTATCAAAAACAGAGCTGAAGTCCACAGCATGAGCAGCCTAAGAGACAACACAGCAATCTGGCAACAAGTGGGAAATGAATCTAAGGGTCTTTTATAAAAAAGAACTAAGTTTCTTCTTGTTTCAGTCACTATGGTGGTATGTTGTCACAGTGGGACCGCTAGAGATGAAAGATGAACAAAGATGCACAACCTTATTGGCAACAAGTGAAAGTTAATGGCTGTTGAGATTTCATTGAATCAAAAAATTAGCAATGTAACAAGCTGTAAACACAACATTGACATGTATTATCATCTTCACCGGGGGATGCATATCACTGCTAGCATTGTGGCTGACACAAAACTGTGAAGCAGCAGGCCATAAAAACAAACCCAGCACTTACAAGGCCCCTGTTGCAATCATTTGACCAGTCTTTTATGGGGGTTACATGTTAACAGCACATACTGTAAGATTATAAATAAACGTCTTTTTATTCCATGGTTGAAGAGGAATTGTCAGGGTCAGTCTTATATCTTAACATGCTGAGAAGAAGCACAAGAGCCAAAACTACCACTGATACATCACATGAAACATTTCCCTTGTGTGAGTGTTGACTGAATGAATTCCTCTTGAGTAATTAGTTTCTTCTCTGAGGATAAGCTGATAACATCATCAGAGGCTTTCCCCTCGACCACATCAGTGCTCATACAGTGATGACTTGAGCTGCGAAGCAGAGAGAACAACCATGTGTCGAATCATGAGCAGGGTCTAAAAATATCCGCATCCGCTGTCATGGCAAGTCGGGCCTGTCTCTGCTGGGAAACGTTTCACACTGAGAAAATCAGTTTTCATGTTGCAGTAATAAAATCCCCATTGGTTTTTATTGGGTTTTGCTGTGAGAACAACTGGGAGACAGACCGGACAAATCACTGGCATTTTCTAGAAAAATATGATTCTGATAAAGAGGAAATAACAAAAAATCTTTAGTCTATCACCAGCGTAAGTTCATTGACTGCCAAAATGAATGTAACATTTACTCAGGTTATATTATTATTAGTGTGAGGCGTGTTCTTTTTATATTGAAAAGGGAAGACTAATAAGAGGATATATATTTCACAGTGCGAAATTTATTATGCATTAACGTATCAAAATTAGCATGTGCACATGGATCTTCACTGTTTAGGATAAACAGAAAAGACTGACCTCAACTTAGTGGTATACAATATTTGTATGAAAAGGTACTACTATCTAATTGGTCAAAAACTGTTGGGGAGAAGCCGTGGTTTAGACTTAACTCTCCCGTTATTGGTCCTTCAGTCCGTCCGTCCTCTCTGTTCCAATCATCGTGGACAGCGCCCTAGAAAGGAGGAATACCTGTACTACTTTAATTCCTACATACACACTCACATCTTCCTTTGTTTTCACTTAATTAAAACTGTTCTGCCTGCGTGTGTGTGTGCATAACTGTTCTCCCTTTGAAGCTCTCTCATCTACGTCTAATCTATTTTAATAAACTTGGAGCCTTACCGTACCAAGACTCCTTTGGGTCCACCAGTCCAGAGGAACGATAAGTAACTATGAGCTCCCTTAGCTACAGCCATAAATCTAATGAAATTCAGTAATTTAGTGGACAAGACTTATGATGTTGCATTAGTGTTTCAGTGACTCACACAGCAAATATTTGACCAGTGGTTCAGTGAACACATAGGGTGATATTCATAACTATATAAACATAACTGTGACATATAAGTATGTAAACTTATGTGTGCTATAAAATAAAACCATTCTTAAGTGCATAAAATAAAAATCACCCTAACATTAGTATTACTGTTTACTAAAAGTATTATAAAAATACCAAGCTTCATATTTAATAAGTTAGATTTCTGGGCAGCCACAAGAGGGTGATATAGCCATGAAAAAGTTATGACATTTTAAACTAAATTATCAGTGATTAAATGAATTGTAGTGCTTTTATTTTGTACAAACAGACTTTTCTTTTAACCATTTTACCATGTGCTGTATTTAAGTACAGCTATTACTTCAGTCCTCTGAATTCATTGCAGGCTCTGTATTGTTCTAACAGTTTCACCTATACTCTCTCTGGTTGGTAGTAGGCTACTGATAATTTTGGATAGTCTTTCATAACCTTATATCAATTTGCATGTCAGATATCACTGTTAAATTCATAATAGATATGCTGGCAAAGATTCTTTATTTGTGGCCGTTACAGAATCACATACTGTTATAGAAAAATGAATGTATATTATGGTTATGATGCACACATCGAGTGAAATACACTGCAGGGCATATGAGTACACCATGGGACATTTTACAATTAATCTAACAAGTTAAAATGCTTAAGGTGAACATGATTCATCATTCAAATTAAAGATTAGTCTTAGTGGATGTTTCTAGTTTTAGTTCTCACATGGTTAGTTTTGAATATGCACCAATTCTTTAAGGCTGCATGGCGACTCATTTTTATGAAAACGTTTGGCGCTAATATTTCATAACACTTCAAAATTGTAACACTAACAAATTTGCAAAAGGTTGTAAAGTGACATGTAACTTCATGAAAAACAAGAATGATATTGTAGACAATTTTTTTTTAAATTAAAAACAAAATAACAAATTAAAATTTTCAAACCATTGTAAATACGGAATAGCTATGATGGAGAAAGGTTGAGGCAGAATGAAAGAAGGTTTGTATCGATGACATGGAGGCAAGAGAAAAATTAACCTGCTGGATTTTTTTGAAGGGAGTTTGGTCACTTTTTGTCAGCAAAAGAAACAAGGAGTTTATAAAGTGAAACAATGTGCACTCGGCTTGGTGCTGAAGAGAAGAACCCTGAACACCAACTTCTGATTCAGGAATCTGAAACAGTGACTTCAGCATCTAACCCTATCTTCCACCAACAACAAATAGTCTGCAGAACCATTCTTCAGCTTCACATTTGTAGTTTTCACTACACATTTATTTCAGTTACAATTTTTAGGGATTAAGATTTTACACAAAAGTGTTCTTAAGAAATATGATGCTTCCCTGTATCTTTCTTTATAGAAAGAAACCTCCGAGCAGACCCCGACTCAAGGTGGGCGGCCTGCTGCCTCAACCAGTTGGGGTGAGTGTATAGTTTTCATAATTATCACAAAAAATAAGGCGAATACACTCAAAGTCAGTGTCTCGGAGCTTATTTGGTCATCTGAGCTCTGTCTCTGTCAGGCTTGCTCCCTCCCAAGAACCCCAAAACACACTCAGTTGATATTGCAACTACCACACAATAGAGCTCTGACTACACTCCACTCTGCGTATGAAACTGCTAAACGTATCCAAACATCAGCAATAATAATTTGCAGGGGTGGGACAAATTGCCCTGCTGGGAGGCCTCCCATCTGTGGAAAATCTAATAAGCACACGAAAGGCAAAACTTTCCCTCCCCAGGCCTACCTGAAGTGCGAGTCACCCCCTTGAAACTTGGCAGAGCGAGACAACTCAGAAATTTAACCCTAAAGTCAAATAAAGGTATTAAAATCTGGGTGGTGATGATTTTAAAAACCACACAACTACACTCATTGACATATGCTTACAACATACCAAAGCACAACTTCATGTGTATGGAGAAACGCTCATTAATCTAACCACTAAGCCGGCCCAGATACTTTCACCATTTAATAATGTAAAAATGACCTAGTCCAAAATTGAGACCGTTTTCAAATAGAGCCAAGAAACACTTGAACACAAAGAAAAAATAAAGTTTGCATCACCAGGTGGTTATCTTTGGTTTCCTAAGGTTGGGCATCTAAGTGGAAAAAAATTGTCAAATAAAATAAAGATTTAATCAAGTGGACAGATGTCAATGCCTGACATCGCTGAAGAAATCAACAACTTGTGGTGCAGAGGCATCATTGTCGACGAGGGTTTGGTACAGCGTCATCTTCATCCTCTTGACAGCTAAACACGACAACTTCTGTATCACATCATCCCACATCATCTTCTCTGGTGGGACAGGAAACAGCTTGGTGGACTGCAACTCTTCAACCAGAAAGTACTTTTCTCTAATTTATTCTCCTGCCCTCCTGGTGTTTTCAAATACTTGATTAGGGTGTTGTGGAAGACGGTACAGTCAATTTACTGTACAGCCCTAAGTAATTTAAGTACAGCCCTTTAAATTCCTGTCCATTAGCAATCAGACTTCTAGCAGTCCACTGAAGTATTATCATTATGAAGGAGCTAATCGCCTCCCTTCTGATGGTCCTTCTCCTTGGTTAGGATCAGCATGGATCTTTTCCCAGGATACATGCTGCTTTCACTATTACGTTAATTTTCTCTGTTTTGGTTTTGGCTTTTCAAATATCTCTCTTTTCAGAGGTGTACATGTTTACTGGCTCTGTATAAGTGACCCTGCATTTATTTCGTAACTGCTGAATCTCCATAGCCTGTTTCCTAACACTGCAACCTCCATCATTCTTTTTCTTCATACATCACGTTTCCTCATCGCCATCTAGCATTCTCTTGCCTGAAAATGGCAACGAATTAACATTATCCTTCTTTCCCTTCCGACCATTCACTATTCTTGACAACATCCATATCATCGTCCTCAAACATTCCTCCACTGCTACTCGCCATCATGATCCAGTCACCGCCTAGATTATGCCAAAACCACCTTTAAAAGTTGTTTCCAACCTCTGGCACAAATTCCTGCCAACCGACTCAGCCCCCAGGGCCTGCCTCCAAATCAACTGTACTCGTTGCCCTCACAATTCAAAAGACTTAAAGCCGCAGCCCTCATTGATGATTAGATGGGAGACCAATCCATTAATCACCCCACTTCCTTTCCTGCCTCCGAAAATCAGGCTGTTTCCTTTTTCCGGTGACGATATGCCGGTTGCTACATAGCAGCAACTGGTGGGGAAACCTGTTTAGTTAAATGTCCAGGGTGCACACGAGGCAGCAACATGAAGCTGATCTCCATCAGCTGATAATAGTATTTCTAGAATCTAGATGATAGGTGATTCTTTCCTATTAAGCAACAGCCGTCTCTGCTTTTGAACACAGAGTGAAAAGCCTGTACCACTGAGTGAATAGTTCTCCAAAGAGCCCAGACACCAGGACACAATCTTAATATCAAGTGTGATTTTATGGGTTTTATTTAATCCGGTCATGATTTTACACAGTCTAGATCAAGGAGTGAGTGGGAAGAGATGGCGTCCACATTTTTGGATCACAAACAAGCTGCCGGTCACTGCTCTGTCAGACTCTAGTCAGTTATTTGTTTCAGTCATTCTTTATGCATCTATGGAGTTGCAGCTGTTTCTATCTTCACCACTGGTGTTTGCCTTGTTTTTGTCATGATAGTAAAACTGAATAGGCCTGTTTGTTTGGATAAAATAGTATTTTTCTGTATGTCCTGCACATATAGTGAATTGACAATAAAAAAAATCTTTGATCTTGATTTGCCTGCTCTGACTAGTCTACATGCTTTCTCTGCTACGGCTGCTTAAAATGTCTGCAGCAAAGAAGGTCTGTGGAACAAGACAGTCTTAAGTATGAGCCAAGTTTGCCTTTTGATAGGAACAACTGAACAGAATTTATAAAGCGAAATGTGAAAGGTACACACAATCCATGTGAATGATAGCGTTACTTCAATAAAATTCAGTTTGGCTCACCTTCAGTAGTAGTTTACAGGTTAATGGAAATCAATATTATGCATCAAAGACAGACATGAAACATTTTCACAGTCTAAAGGGGAACGTGACTGAAAAGTTGGCAAGCCACTGATTAATACAGGACACTTTACTCTTTAATTGTCATTGTATGAACACAAAAATGGAAAAAAAGCTGTGGGAAAAGCTGCAATGTTTTTCAGTGCATCTCTGTAAAAACAAACAAAAAATGTGTGTGCATGACCTTTATTACATTCTGTGTGTTTCTGTTAAGCTCAAATTTTGACTATTACAAGAGTGAACATTTACCAGTGCAGTTCTTCTCAGCCATCCTTTTCGATTAGCCCTAGCATGCTAGAACACCATTTAGTGTCTATTAATGGTCAAGGAGCCTGAAAAATCAACCTATTAAAATGTCGGTAATTAATCTGTGTAATGACATTTCAGAGAAATCTTTTCATGAATATCAATAGGCATTTTTGTGGGAGTCAGTACAAATTCAGGTGCAAAGAAACTTTTCACACATACTGTACCTATCCTAAGGTATTTTATTTTGTTGTTACTGTGACTCTTTTCCAGGCTGCTTCCTGCCCTGTAGTCTCACACAACTAATATCTAGTTATTTCTAAAAGTGAGAACTGAACTTAGAATGGTCAGTAAATGAACACTGAAGTGTTTTGGCCACCATCTTTCATTGTAGTCTCACACCATTTTTCCAAATCAGCCACTCTCAGACCACAGATGTTGTGCTCTCCGGATTGATCCGAACAGGCCAGGTGCTCTTCCTCAGGTCCTGCAGCTGTTTGGCCGGCTTGCCCACTCCCTCCTCAAACCTCCGCTCCACCACCGACAGCACAGTGTCATGGAGGAAGGTGGCATTCTGCAAGATAAAGGTTTTCTTCTCAGGGTCCTGCTCGCAGCGGACGCTGTAGTCCACATGCTGCACGGCCACCAGGATGATCTCCCGCAGGCTCTCCAGCAGCACCATGTGCAGCTCGGGGGAGTAGAGCTTCAGGCCTTCCTCCAAGAAGCTCATCATCTGCTTTGTGAAGGCCACGATGGTGTAGCTCAGGTTCACCCAGCAGTCGTCACCAGTGTAGTGCTCAAAACTGGCCATTCCACAGCTGCGCATCTCATCCTTCAGAGAAAGACGAAGACAAGGTAATGTTCCAACTGATATAACATTGATTTGTGACAACATTTATCTTAAACACCCAGTATCTGCCAGGTCTTTACTGGGAAACATCCTCTGCATACAGGCAGACATCACTACCTACAGAAATGTACTGCAGCCAGGAGTATTTTCAGTTTAAGTTAATAAAATAAATAAATAGCGAAAACACCCATCACACTGTCTGTGGTGAATTCTCCATTTGCTGCTTTGACCAACAATCAAAGACCCAAAGATATCCAGTTTACAGTGTTATAGAGTGCCGTAGGGATGATGTATTTTTCTAGGCCAACCAAGAAGTGAGCATCGCCGTGGTTCCCTCCGCAAAAAGTCAATGGAATTTTCCCGCAGGCTGTGACAAACAACAGTTTTTGACACTTACATGTTTTGTTCAGCAAGATAATCATCACAGGTGAACACACTTTTATGATTTCTGAAGCCTAAACACAATTGTTGGAAGTAAAAAGCTACTGTTAGCCTATAAACAAACTACACCACGGTCCCATGACTTCAGCGTCACCACCACGTTTTCCAACTTGTAAAGTAATTTATAGGGCTTACGTCTTCTACAAAATCCTTTTGTCTTAGCCTGACCCGATCTACGGAGTGATCACGCCTGGGTCACTTAGTTAGAATAGTTTAAACGCAACAAGGCTGTAGAGGCGGGCTAGTGAGTAGATGAGTCTCTGTGTTCAGCGTGATGACGGTTAATATCCCAGACAACCTCTGTAGTCTCATCTAGCCACTTGTTAGCAACCACCCTTTTTACTGATAATAACAAAACACGATAATGTCTTCTGTTACCACAGACCTTATTTCAGGCATCTAACCTAAAACCCACTGAAAACACCCAGTGACTTCAGGGCGAGGCCTGGAAGTGCAAAAATGCTGACTCAGTTCTGGGTATTAGGGCTCACTACTACGGCACTCTATAAAACAAAGAAAAGCAGAAAATCCTCACTCTGGAAAAGGTGGACAATAACCAGACAAAACAAAACAAAAACAACCCAGAAGCCATATTCACCTTGAGTTTAGCCAAAGCCTCAGGGGTCATAAGGTTCATCCTCCTCCACATCTCCTCAGAGTTTCGGTGTTTAGTGGCTTCGATGATGATGTCCTTGTAGCTCTGCAGGGCTGCTTTGACGTCTTTGACCAGGAAGGACTGAAGGGTGAAGGTCAGGTCCAGGCCGATCTCAGTCAGCTGCTGACAGTGTTCTTTAGCCACTTTAACGCATTCTGCTGCTGTCGACAGGCTCTCCTTACTATCAAACACCTGACAGACACCACTCTATTAGGATACCTACTGCAGATCCACAGAAAGACTTACACATTAACAGGGTTTGAATGACACTTGCGCCCTCTGGCTGCCACACCTAAGAATGTCACCCCTTAGGTAACCATCACTGTGCAGCTATACACCTAACATTTGATTCTCACTTTAGCAAAAGCCACATATCAAGTAGTGACTTTCAGTTGTCTGTAAACATTTACATTAAATATAAGTAGTAAATCTGATTTGTCATCTCTTTTAAAGCCACTGGAGAAAGTAAGAGCCCCAAATTCAGAAAACCAAATGCAGGATTAAAAACATCCTCAGTGTATATGCAATATTTTCAATTTTCTGTATTTTTCTCCAATTCCAAACATTTTATTATTTGTATCAGAAAGTAGCAGTTCTGCTGTTCCACTGCTGTTTTGTAATAAATTCCAACCTCTTAAAAAATATGGATATTTAATTATGTGTGCATAAATCATCTTTCCTGGCATTAACAACACATACTGAACAGGCTGTTGTGTGTGTGTCTGACCCTCTTCCTACCTGCTTGCTGAAGGCGTCCACAAACATCCTCATGGTGGATCTGGACCAGACCACAAAGGCGGAGTAGCAGCCTGTGTTTCCTGCAAAGTCCATCTCAAACTCCTTGGCTGTCTCCAGCAAGCTAGTGAAGAAGATGTTGCAGAGTTTGTGTATGTAGAGCAGCGTGGCTCCTTCGATGCGAAGCTGCCGTACGGCTGTCTGAACCGCGGCTGCGCGGTTCTTTAGGAACAGCTCGCAGGCCTTGGTGGACTGACCTGCAACACAATGGAAAAAGGAGTCAACCAACATAGTGAATAAAATGGTCCGCCATTTCCTTCCTAATCTGTGTTGGACGTATAGTCTGCACCAAAACACCTTACATTTGACAGCTCATTGAAACCTCAGTTACTATGTGACAGTTAGTTTCAGGATAAAAAATGTGAAAACTCTAACAGTGTAACAAAAAATATCTGAGTGTGTGAGGACACCGAGAACTGCAGTCTTCAAGCTCAAACAATTCACCTACAACTGTGCACCAGAGTATTTGGAGGACTTGGTGATAATTCAGGAAAAACAGATCCAAATAATATTAACAATAAATATGCCTGAATCACCGCAGGCTGGCTTATCTACAATCACACTGTATCAACCTCCAAGGTCCAAATCAGACAATAAGTTATGTGCAAGTGTTCAAAGCAGATCTAACACCTAGAATGAATGAGGCCGTTACTGCAACTGTGCCCTGTAACCAGGAAAACACTTAGCAGCATATGTGGCATATGTGTAATTATACTGAGCTGTGAAGCAGAGCAGTGAGGCTGTGGGGAAGAGAAGCTGACTTTTTGTTGATGTGTGAAGCAAAAACAAAGCAGGACCTAGTCTGATGAGCTGGGATACAGCCCTCCTGGTTGCTTTAGGTCCTCCACGAAGCGACCGGTCTGGAGACAGCTCAAACACTAGGACCTCTGTCAGCTGCCGTACACGGTTGTCCACCTTCGACCTGAGCTCTTTGACTTTCTGGGTGACCGGCTGGTCTTTGAGATACTCGTTGAGCTTGTCCAGCAGGTCCACAGCACCCTCAAAGTCTCTCTGGGCGATGCACACATCCAGATCCTCCGGCAGCTCCTGGATCCACTCTAGGCTGAGGTCAGCGTTTTCTTCAGCATCTGCCGGCTTGTCATTGTCCTCATCAAAAGGATTGGTGGACACCTCTGCCCTGGCAGGTGAAGCGGGGATCTCCTCCTCTTTCTTGTGCCTGTCCTTGGTGACCTTGTTCTTCTTGGTCTCGTCCAGAATCTCCAGCCACTCCTTCTTGATTTTGCTGTTCTCTGCCTGGAAGATGTGACTATCTGGGAACATGAGGATCTTGAACATGTCCTTCATGGGAGGGTTGTCTTTCACATTGACCACAGCGAAGCTCTCTAGGTCGTACAAATTGTTGTACTTGTACTTCACTGTGCCACGACGGTTTGGCAGCCAGGTAGCGATTAAGAGGCAGTCATTCATCAGGAAAGCATGGACCTTCTGGATGGGAGACATGTTGTCTACATCAAACTCAACAAGGTCACCGTTGTAGATTAAATGTCTCCCAGGGGTGTCCATGATGTTTTTACCTCCCTCCACTTTCTCCAGCAGTGAGGTGAGCGTCCTCTGCTTCACCTCCTCTGTTTCTTTAGGGAAAGCAGCCTGCATCTCTTTGGAGGTCTCATCCTTATCTGTGGACAACAAGGCCTGGGTGATGCTCTCCATGATGCTCTTCTGCTCGGTCAGGATGTGGCTCAGCTGGTACATCTCACTCTCCAAGTAGGAAATCTCTTTGGCCGTTTCGATGAACTGTCTGTAGTTCTTGTAGACATTTTTCTTCAGGTTTTGAGCCGTTTCGTCGGCCAAGTTTTGAATTTTTTGACGATGCTCCTGCAAATCTCTGTCGCCATCGGACTGCTGTGATAGCTGCTTGACGTAATTTTGCGGGTCGAAATTAGGCGATTCAAGCAGTTTCCGGAGTCGGTTTCCCGTTTCCGACATCTTCTGTCGTGTGTGTGTTTACCTGTTCACACAAAATATTAACTAATTAGTGATGAATGTACACAGAAGATCAGTTCATCGAGCCTCCAAAGTTCATATCTGCTTGCAACCTAAACAGGAAGCTGGAAACTGGTTGACACCCTGAAACGTCACGAGATTCAGAAAATGGGATGGCCAATAAAAACCATAATAACAACCATTTAAATCACATGTATTCGTTCATCGGACTCATGATCCCTCACTGTTAATATCACCTAGAAGGTAACTTATATACAAGTCTAAGTTGTTAATAATCTCCAAGTATTTAATCGTTAAATTACAACAGAAAAATCCAGGATTGATTTTAGATTGGCCAACAACTTGAAACAAAAAAGACTACAAATCCCAGAACTCATTTTTACAACTTAAAAAAAAAAAACGAACGTTTAGTCAAGATCGCGGGAGTCACTTAAGTCTCGAGCGGAAACCAATCTTTCAAAAATCGCTGCAACAGTATATAGTGCAATAGTTTAAAAAGTATTAGTCTTTACTACTAATTAAATCGTTCTTTATTTAATAGTAAAGCAAAAGTAATGTACCCTACAAAAACACATTGTAAAACTACTAAATTACAAGTAAAAGTTAATTACATTTCACCACTGCACTACTACACATACAGTAGCTGCCCGAAATTGGTTTATTTTGAAATTCACAACAGAAAATCTTTGGTTGTAATACACTTGACAAGTGCACTGTTGGCGCTAGTTTTACACTAGCAACACCTTCGTCCAGCATGAAGATTTTTGTATTTTTGCTGAAGTCGTGATATAAATGAGAATATTTGTACAGCTGGCATATTTGACCGACTGTATTCTGGCTCCAGTGATGCTATCGGTTGTTGTTTGTGAGACTTATACAAGCTATGTTAGCCAGCTAGCGTTAACAATCTAACATATACGTTAATCAGTTAGCGTTGAACTTAAACTGAGCTAATGCTAGCTGACTAAGCTAATATCACCTTTTTTCGCCTGTTGACATGGATAAAAACATGGATGACGACTTTCTACTCGCCATTCAGCTACAGGAGCAGTTTGACAATGAATACGAGACCTCGTTATTTGCATCAAACGACTTTGGGGGCAACGAGTTTTGTCAAATCAGTAAGAAACAGCGAATGGAGATAGTTGGAGGCGGTAGCGATGTTGTTCCCTGGCGGAAGCCGACTGTCCAGCTCGAGAGGCCTCTGTCCATTGTGGACAAGTCCTGGGAGATGCTGGATCCCAGTCCTGATGTCAGAGCCATGTTCCTGCAGTTCAATGACATGTTCTTCTGGGGAAAACTCAGCGGTGTCGAGGTTAAGTGGAGTCCCAGAATGACACTGTAAGTCATTTATGATTGTGTATTTTCCAGTGTTGTCATTTCCCTTTAGGCTAAAACAATACACTAGCCTCTAGATACATTAATACCCCTACTCAAAATAAAATAGTCTGGGTTTTGTATGGGGTTTGGTGTTACCATAGGAAAATGTTTACAGTAACAACCCAGTCAACTAATGGTGCATATTGTAAATGATCTTCCCAGTGGGGTTGATGAAAGGGTTGTGTGTGCCATATTTAATGTGTCCCGCCCATTCTCTCAGATGTGCTGGTGTGTGTTCTTATGAGGGCCGAGGTGGATTATGTTCAATCAGACTCAGTGAACCTCTGCTGAAGCTGAGACCCAGAAAAGACCTGGTGCAGGTGAGGTGGATACTTCATCTGGTATAAAGTTGTTTATCAACTTGTTACAGTTTCATACCTTTCTAAGAACTATTATTCAAAGACTTAAATGTGCAGTAAAGAGATTCACCTGTGTCAAAACAGCAGTCTTTATTGAAATAACAGGGTCAGAATTCATTTGTGTTCTTTACACTGGTAAAACAGATTATTATAAGGCTTTAGATCTAGACAAACAGTTTATTATTGTGCAATTAGTTAGAAATCTAATATTTAAAATACATAATCAATTAAAGTGATCTTTCAGGATAAATGTAATAAATTAATCATAAATAATTAATTATAATATAAAATTATAACACAGCAGCAACCTCTTAATTTTAGTTAGAACCTTTTCATTCATGTCATGAGACATTTTGCCTTCAGCTCTCAAGTTCCAGCTGTGAATGTGTGTCAGGCTGAATTGTACAAAGAAAGAAAATGACGTTCCTTAGACAGATTTTCTTACTTATCAACTTCAATATTATGTTTCCACAGACTCTCCTTCATGAAATGATTCATGCACTGCTGTTTGTGACCCAGAACAACCGAGATAGAGACGGTCATGGACCTGAGTTCTGCAAACATATGAATCGAATCAACAAGGCCAGTGGGACGAACATTACTGTAGGTGTATTACTCATTTTAAGCATTTAGTCGAGATCTTAACAGTCAATCTATAAAATTGGTCTTCTGAACCTTCTGTCTTCCCCTGTCCTCTCATCAGATCTACCACAGCTTCCACGATGAGGTTGATGTGTACCGGCAGCACTGGTGGCGATGCAATGGGCCCTGCCAGAATCGCAAGCCCTACTTTGGTTATGTGAAGAGGGCCATAAACAGAGCTCCATCTTCTCTGGACCCCTGGTGGGAGGACCACCAGAGGACTTGTGGTGGGACCTACACCAAGATCAAGGAGCCTGACGGATATAGCAAAAAAGGCAAGAAGGATGGAAAAAAGGATGTGACAACCTCCGTGAAGAAAGCCTCAGGAAATGGAAAGCCTTCAAGTACAAGTACAGGTGACAAGCTGATTTCTCTACTGTGTTTTAACAGCTATAAATGTCATTCTGTGTTTATAAAAAACAGAAAACCCCCCACACATTTTGCTCTCTTATAATCACAAAGTAATTAACTCATGATCACAGTGTCATTGTGTTAACCAGAGGATAACAGTTAAACAATTACATATGCCAACAACATTGTCTCAACATCACAAAATGTATTTCTTGTGATTATTATTTAAAAAAAACAAGTGAGAGTAGGATGATTTATTCAGCTACACACAAAATTTGTTGTCTGACTCCAGTTTGTACCTTTTTCCCTGTCAGGGTCTGGATCACAGGACATAAGGGACGTTGTCCCATTTAGTGGCAAAGGCTTCGTACTTGGAGGGAAGTCACAGTTCTCCACTCCGTCCTCCCCATCTTGCAAACCACTAGTACCTGTTGTGGAAACATCTTCCTCCAGCTCTGCCTCCTCTCCCAAGAAACTCTTCACCCCTTCATCCCCAGCTAAAAGTCTCACCTCTCCTGCACACCCTGGCTTGGATAACCGAACCAAAGGAAGCACCGCCGCCTTTCCCTTCACGGGGCCAAAGCCTCCTATAAAGAGATCTGTCAGTAATACAAAGATTTTTGTGAACATCAACGGCTCACCAGTGAGAATCCCTAAACCCCACAGTAGCAGCAGTAGTCATGGGGCAGATAAGATCAAACAGAGGCCCATTACAGACCTTTTCAATGACACGGAGCTCAAGAAATCAGTAAGTGAAACCTTTGTCACAAACACAGAGGCTGAAAGAGATTTGCTGGCATCACCAAGGAGTACTAGGAGTGCTACTACGAGTTCCTCCTCTCCCAGCACATCTAAACCTAGTACATCCAATCATTCAGAGTCTTTCTCTGTAGTTCCATCCAGAAGCAGCCCTGCTAAACTAGCTCAGTCCAGCTATTTCACTGATTCTAACAGCGAGAGAACATTAGAAGCTGCTGGTGGGGGTCAGAGGAAAAGGCAGTGGCATGAGCGCCGCAGCTCAGCCAGCATTGCTGACTTCTTCCAGAAGACATCAGGCAGCAATATAGCAGCACCGAGAGAGTCAATAAAGACAAAATCACCTGCAGTGCAGCAAAGAAGTGCCACCGCCATCTCCTCCTCCTCCTTCTCTGCAGGATTGCACAGTGTTACCTCCTCCTCTGAGCTGATGGTCAGCTGTCCTGTGTGCCAAGCAAAGGTGCAGGAGGGGAAGATCAACGAGCATCTGGATTCCTGCCTCTCCTGAACGAGGAGGAGCAGCTTGGGACGAGAATGATGTTGAAGGAATGCTGTAATAAAACCTGTTTCCAGAAGTTCAATAGAAGCTTCAGGAAGTTTAGTGTTTTAAATACGTTGAATATTATTTGATATTATACTGTTGATTTTCATAGATCGTGTTCATGTTGCTACCTTATAATGATAATATTTCTCTCATAAGTGCCTCTCTGACAGCTTGTACTCTCATATTTGAAGAGAACAGTAGGATTTAACATTTAATGTCACCTGAATTCAATAAGGCATTTTTAATTCCAGTTCATGCTTATTGGTGGTTCGTACAGGTTTGTGCACTTTACCGGAAACTGAAGCATTGGTATTGCCATTGTTAAATTATTTTGTATCATAGTGATCCATTCTGTGAAAAATCTCTTCAGCTGTTTCACTGCAGGGCTCCCTGCACGCTGCATGTTTGGGATCTCAGGGCTCTGGGCACAGTAGAAAGGTTCTTTTTGCTTCCTCTGAGATCTGAATCTGCTGCCCTTCAGACAGCAGCTGACACTGGCTGACCTCTGCTGATCTGTGGGAATCAGATTTCACATTTGCCAGCTATTCTCTGCACATCTTCACATAACACTGCACCCAACTGCAAGATCAGGCAATGCAGGGCATCACCGTTGTGCCTTTCACTTTGACTTTTTGTTTTAAAGGACAAAAATAAATATGTCCAGTTGTCTTTGATAAATAAACAATTTTAACAGCTCTATTTACTGAATATTGTTTTTCTTTTGGGAGTAGTAACATGAGTTTTTAATTTTTTGTCAGTGCTGCCTTTTTAATGATCTGGTCTCATCACTTAAGAGTTTCAACAAAAACACCAAGGTCACTGTGAGTGTTCACAGTGAAAGGGGGGGTGTAGCAGAGCAGAAAGAGGGTGAGGGCAGAGGTCAAGCAGCTGCTGATCAGGACCACACCCTCCAGTCCCTGCACGGTGGACTGGAGCAGTGACAAAGCATGTCAGCATCCCATTTCATTTCAAGTACCGCTGCTGCTATACCAGTCTTTGATTACCATCTGCCTGCACATATATCACTCTCTGCAGGGAAAAGTAGATCTGGGCACATCTCTGCCTCCACAGAGCTAAGAACATCATAAAGGACTGCTCCCATCCAGGTTACAAACTTGTCTCTCCTGCCCTCTGGGAGGAGAGACAACAGTCTGAAGACACGTACAGACTCAAAAACAATCAAAATCTTGCACTGCAGTATCTTTTTTACTATGCCATAGTTTATTTATTATGTTTTTATATTTATTTACATTTTACATTATTTCTTGACATCTTATGATGTATGTGGTCTGTCTTTTTGTTCTTTTTTTTAATATCTGGCATTGGTTCAGATGTAGCACTCCTAATCTCGTATATCTCTTGGTACAATGACAATAGAGTGCAAACATGGTTTCCTGTCTTCAATAAAAGGAAGAAGCTGGTTTCCCACCCAGTGGCTGCAGAGCAGGACAATGTAAGGCACATATGGGCCTGAATTCACCACTCGTGTGCTTTTTTTGTATTTGTATTATTATTCCATGTGGATTTTTTGTGATTTTACTCTAAAACACACAGTAGAAGCTCTGAACAGTTCCTTTAGCGCAAGAGTGTTACATCCCCAGTGTAAGAAGGAGCGTTACCGTAGGTCGCTCCTCCCCACAGCAATCAGACTGTACAATACATCACTGCAGGGATAAGCTAGGTGAAAGTATGAGGGTCCATGTAATAGTCAACTGAGGTACAATACTCAAATCCTGGGGTAAAATGCATCGTTAATATGCACATATGTAAATTCTGCTCTTGATTATTCAAATACTCGATTCTGTCTACGGTATTTTAGAGTACTTGGGAATTTATTTATCAGGATGTATGTGTGGTGCTTGTTCTCTATTGCTGCTTGAGGTACTGAAATTTGTTTATCAAGATATGTGTGTGGTGTTTGTTTCTCATGGTGTTATGTTGTTTGTTCTCCATTGCTACTGAAACACTGAAATTTCCCCATTGAGGGATCAGTAAAGTACCTACCTACCTACCTACCTACCTATACACCCCCTGCCCCACTAGAATTACTTCAACTCAGTCTCATTTCATTCCTGTTTGACTCACGGAGGAAACTGTCATCCTTGTTTCCTTCGGAGACTCCCGAGGGAAGAAAACTCACGTCACTGATAGCAGCTGACACTATTGTCCCACACACACACCTGTCATAATCTAAACAACCACTCCTCCTGCACACTGACACACCAGGAAGCTGACATCCTCCAAATACACACAAACACACGCCCTTGCTCCTTCTCCTCAGACCTATTGTCTCGCTCTGACAGCAATGCATCTCAAATAAGTTCAATACAATGACGTTCTGTCTGCTGTCGCAGCAGCTGGACATGACTGAAGGTTATTATTTCTACTGGGGTGTAAGTTCTTTCTCTGCAAGGTCTAATGCTCTGATCTCAGAGGCAGGGATGATGATGTTGATGAAAGGTTATGCTCATAAGACCCCTGCACAGACAGATTGTCCTTAATGGGTCTTTTTAAACTGTGCAGCTGTGAACTGCCAGCTGATGGCTAATTGGTCTAAGAGCAGGATTAGGCTGCACAGAGGGGATGTGATGCTTTCAAGGGCAAATATATGATAATGTTGTCTGATATCATAGTGTTAAAAAAGTCAAAAGCTGATGCATTATGGAGCAAGTGAGATTAAAGTGATTTCATTAGAGCAATTAGAAATAGGCTTGCAGCTTCCTCTGCCTGACTCTGTGTGTGTGTGTGTGTGGTACACCACACTCCTCTATCATTCTGAAGAGCATGTGTGATGCTTTTGTTTGTTGATTTCAAGGTTATTGTTGTGTTATCGCTGTGACAGGGCTGCAGGATAGGGGGTCGGGTAGTAAAGACCACCATCTGTCCTTTATTCTCACACTATTGTCCCACACACACTCCTAGCATGACCTCAGACCCTCTGTCTCCACTCTGTCATCTGGGGAACATCTATTTGTTTTACTGCAGGGATTCAGTAGACAGACATTTAGTTCAAAAGTATCAGCTGTTTACGTTAGCAGGCAATAGCATTTCATTATTTGAGGCAGAACATTTTATAGATTTTCTAACATCAAAGATTAGTGCATTTAAATGTATTGAACAAACCTAAAGGAATGATCAGTATAAAACAACAGTCACTTTTACTTTGAAGGCGTTACGTTTTTTTCAACAACCATTTAACTTAAGTGAAAGTGTATAACAGTTAATAAATATGTAAAATTTAATAGCCAAAACTGCATGGAATTTATGAAGGCCTGTTTCATCCTCGTTATTAGTGTGACTAACTCTAAGCTCTGAACTTTTTCCAGCGATGTTCTATTGTCTCATTTTAAAATTAATCAGTGTCTTTTGTAGCCTTGCTGTTTTATTGTGTTCTGCTCTGGTGTTTACATCCATTTGTATTAATAAACAATAGATTATAATAATAACAATATATTTAAACATGATCACTTAAAAAAACTAAAACCAGAAAAAAAGACAAGCTGGCAGGGAGACGCCCAGCAGCAACTGTGTTTAAAGGACAGGAAGCGGATTTTACTACTGAGCTATAGGTTTACAACAATGAACCATAACAAGACCAGAAGTTTATCTTCAAAATAAAAGCCAAGTAAAGACTTTATCCCAAAGATTGAGGGCTGTACTATACTGAATGCTAATGCACTCACAAATTATTTAAGTTTGAGTTTGTAATGGTCTTGAAAGGTTCATGTCATGGGGGCCTTTGTAAAGACTATGTTTTATTCATGCACAGAAGCAGTGGTGGTAGTAGGAGAAGTCCCCCCCTGCCGAAGAGCCTGAGCGGCTTGCTGAACTCAAGCGGCGGCTCCTGGAGAGAAATGGAGAGGATGTACGTGAAGAAAACCATGATCCAGGACGACCTGAGCCGAGGCAGGAACAACACCGACAACCTGCTGGCGAACAAGCCTGCCAACCTCGATGCCGCTCTGGCTCTTCTACGGAAAGAGATGGTAACATTTTAGGGAGTGTACGTTTGATTTGTCGACAAGAAACTCCGTTTTTCACCCCTGGTTTTGTCGCGAGCCGTTTAAGCTTAATGCTCGCTGCACATTTGTACTGAGCCAAATTCCATAAAGAAACTGTGGCGGTTTGTTATGGCCTGGTCTTTTGGACAAATTTCACCGAGTCTTGGCACACAACTTAAGGTTTTTACATTTAATTAGAGTCTCGTGATCGATTCGGCATACATAACAATTACAGTGCACCGCATTATATATATAAAATGTCAACTTTCGTGTATGGATCTCGTATGTTGCAACAGTTCACTTTGAATATTTGTTGTTGGAAAATAATACAGTCGATCAAACTCCAATTTACCTAAATTTTCCGAATGAGATTATTATTAATTTTTTTTTTAGTAAAGTTAATACTTGCCAAATTTATTCGGATATCCTATTAATTTCCAGAGTTTTTTTTTTCGTACACAACGTGTGAAGATAAAACCCGTCTTCACCACAGCTATGCACTGGATAAAACAAACTAAACTACATGCCTGTGCTGATTTATATCCTAAGCTCCATTTACTACAATTTAGTCTCACTTTAAAAGTTTGTTTTCTACAAACTCTGCTCTTTGAATTTTTGTTACAGGCTTTAATTAAAAGTAGAAATCCCTCATTGTGTGCTTTACTCTCTCTGCAGCAAGCAACCCAGGGCTTATTGCCTTGTTTCTGTTAATGTATTACCATGACACATTGTCTTCTCAGTCGTCAGTGTCCTTTATTTTAGAACTAAAGTGCGCAGTGCTCAGTCTGAGCTGTCTGAACTGAACTCATGACCCTCAGTTCACACTGCAGCACTGACAGTTGAGTGGTATGCAGTAATGTACTCTTCAACCCTACCAGTAGTCTTTTTTTGTCTTCCTACAGTATTGTTTTAATGTCAAGTAGGACTGCAGTCATTTTTTCTATTAATTAATTAATAATTTAGCCTTTACATTGTCAGGAAATAGTGTAAACAGTCTGTTAGGTACCAAGGACTGACCCAAAGGTATTACAAGAGCGTCACATCTTCACACTTGAGAAGCTCATAATATGATGTGAAAGTTGGTCAGTCCATACATTATCTATACAGCTTATTCCTGAGTAGGGTCACAAGGGAGCTGGAGCCAATCCCAGCTGACACTGGACGAGAGGCGGGGTCCACCCTGGACATGTCGCCAGTCTGTCGCAGTCCAGTTGTTATTTTTCACCATTAAGGAAAAATATATGTTATGTTTAGCTCAGATATAGAGTATAATGTAGTTCATAGCCATGCTTGAACATTCACTTGATTTCTGCAGGTTGTGTCAGGTCTACAGTGGACAATCTTGTGTTTTTCTTTGCGGACTGTACGGTAGCAGATGTTCAGAAAACCTTATGTCAACAAAGGAAAGGCTCTAAAATGCTGAATGACTCCAACAGAAGTGTGTCCTGTATTTATCAGGATCTTGTTTCTGCCTGCTCCAGGTGGGCTTGCGTCAGCAGGACATGTCCTTGCTGTGCCAGCTGTGGTCACTGCACGAGTCAATCCAGGAGTACAAAGGGAGCTGCCAGGACCTGAGCGCCGCGTCCAGCCTCAGCATGATGGACAATGGCTACTTCGATGAGGACGATGAGTATTACCCCGAGCCTGGCAACACTCCCACTGGAGAACAGCCGGATGGAGAGGTTGGATATGGGACAGCAACAATGATGACGGCCAAGAATGGAAGCAGCAGCGGCAAAGACGACAGCTGGGATTCTTTTCATGTTGCCATCTGAGGGCTCATTCTCAGCATTTCTCTGCAGATGGGTAGTAGACATCCTGGGGGTAACAGACTGAGTTAAGCTGGTGGAAAAGCTGAGTGGCTTTGGAAACTCTCTGGCCTCCAAGAACAGTGAGGTTGCTTAGAGATAGCAGGTTATGGTGTCCAATGACCATAATAGACTATAACTGTAAAGCACCAGCTCCAGCTTAACTTTAACTCTTCCTCAGGTGAAACGTATACCTGCTTGTGCTGCAGAATGTTTTTTCCTCGCTGCTTGACCAGGAGCCTTATCAGGCTGCGGAGCTGAGTGGCCAGATGTTTTTTTTGACTGATGGCTGTTTAACATCCTCAGAAACTCAGGAGTTGTGATGGATAGTATTTAAAGACTTCTTATACTCATAATTAGGCAATATATACAATATATTTCTTTTTTTAAAAGGCTCTGCTGCTGCTTCTATATCAAGTGGTTTGGCTGTCGCCTTTTTTTTTTTTACATATACAAAATATATGGACAAAATTTTATTTATTATATAATATAAACAACCAGATATTTGCTTTCCTGTTACTCTATGGATGTTTTGTACTGCAGCTCTACCCAGGTACAGGCGTCCGGCATGTACGAAATGGGAATCCCCAAAACTGGGGCATCAAAAGTGAATGCAGAGATTTCTGAGCTCTGCAATCAAAGAGGTTATCGACTTTGTGGACATGCTGATGGAGACTGTTTGTTACTAATCAGTGATGTGTATAAATTGGAAAGGTCTGGAGATGAGTTGTCAGACCTCACGAATGGAGAAAGAGGTGGAGTCCTCATACCTGTATGCTGAATACAGTCTTTTTTTGCTTTTCAGAAGGAGCAGATATGTGCTCTGAAAATGTGAAATGTTAAACGCTGAAAACAGTTTTGCATTGTGACAAACCTGGAAGCCCAGTGTGTTAGGCTACAGAAACAGTGCTGTGTTTCATGAACTGTGATGTGTCACTGAAGAAGGCCCAGATAACATCCAAGTAATATCAAACACTAAGACGTGAATCTGGCAAATTATGATCCTTTTTGTTAATTGCAACTCAGGTCTCATTTCCACTGTTACGGCCATCATTCCTGTCCGTTATAACATTGCATGTACTGAGTTGATGGTTGAGGTCTGGGAAAGTGGCAGGATCGCCAAAAAGAAGTCAGACGGGATGAGAAACTCAGGCAGCTGCTCCCAGATGTGAACAGCTGCAGTGAAGTGTGATCATAATCAATAGACATGTAAATAAAACCCAAGTTGGAATAAATGAAGATTATCCTTTAACATAGCCAGGTAGCAAGTGCTAACTATCAAGCTGAAAATAATCAGTAAAAACAAACAAACAAAAAAAGATAAAGTGACTTATTCAGCAATTTTCCTCATAACCAGCTCTGAGACATTCATTCCTAATCTGCTCAGGCAAATCCTGGTCAGGTCTCCCTTAAAAAAAGAGATCTTGATCTCAGTGGGACTTCCTGGTACAATAAAGGTTAAATAAAATAAAAGATAAAATACTCCATCAGAAGTGCATGAATGTGTTAGTGTCACATTTTCAGCAGTCGGGTTTCTGTGGCCTTCAGCTGTTGCTTACAGTGTAAACGCACAACTGTAGCTCTACACCTGGTAGCAAATATCAGCTGAGTACAGGCTGTTTTATACTTGGTGTCCTATATAAACATCTTCAGCAACCTCATCCTGCCAACACTAACAACAGGCTTAAGACCTGTCTGATCACTATTTAAGACACGTCTGAGGGATGTAATGGACATTATGACGGTGTTTCATCATACCTGCATATCTCCTACGGGCTGTCCTACATTTATATAATGCGGGGTTTCAGTTACCTGACAGTACTGGTCGCTAACAAGATTGTAACAGCAGGCGTTTTTCACTTGGAACAAAACATGAAAATACCTTCCAGTACAGTGAAATAACTCTCTCCTGGTGAATCTCTGCTTGCTGTTTGAAGAGTGTTTTTCATTGAAACTTTGAACTAAACACTCCACAGATGGAGCCTTACTTTAAACTCCAGGTATCTTTTACACCCATTGACCCACGACAAGCTATTGCATTTGGATGTGCACATTTTTGTACTTCTGATACACCTGAATGGTCTGTTCTGTCTTCCTTCATATCTAAACTCTACAGCAAAGGTCTCAGCTGAACCTGTAGCATGTACTGTCATACATGACAGCTGTCCTAGCACTCAAACTGCAGGCAGACTTTATTGCATCAGCACCAACCCTCACCTTGAGAAGCTGTATAGTGTCTGTATAGATCATATCATGTTTGTAGACTGGTCCACTATTTGTGCGCTTGTGGGGCACAAACCAAAGAAAGTACAGCCGTCAAAATGAGATGTATTTGGTGCTGAAGAAAACGCTGTCCTAGCTTACTTATCATGAATGGTTATATTTTGTTTCTAAGGTAAACTTCATAATGATGTTGGTTGTCTTGAAAAAAAATGTCTTTACAAGTCATTTTGCAGCTGATGAATGGAGTTAGGGGCTTCACTGATGGAGCGAACACTATGCCTTTAGCCTACTCAACGAACTACTCATATTTTCAATTTACACAAAGTGTTTGATGTTTAATCATGGTTATTGTAAGCCGGATGTCACCACTTGACATATGAAAGTCTAAAACACCTACATGTGCTGTGGAAAGAGCTCGAAGTCAAAGGTGCAGTAACAGTTGCTGTGTACAAAATTGATGGTTGAACAGTTTGATCGTTGCTATTAAAAGTGAGTAAAGTTAAAGCCTGAAAGCTAATTCTCGATTTCCTCCAGTCTGACTTTGTGAGGTTCTATTAAAATAACAGTTTGGGAAATGTGCTTATTTGTTTTTTGCTATTACTACTCTTGTATATCTGTTAAATAGAAGGTTTCAGGCAGCAGCCAGTTAGCTTAGCACGAGGAAAGGTTAAAAACTACTCATCACATACTGTATGTCTGAAGATTCTCAGTCGTCCAGGTCATATAGATGAGCAGAGTGAAATCAAAGGCAGCTGGTTTTGTTTTATCTCTGATCCAGACAGCTGCCTTTCACTTTGCTGAATATATCCACTGTGCATTTGCAAGTTTCTGACTCCATCGCCTAATGAGTTTGACTGACTGTCCTCTGTGTTATTTGTTGTGGAGCTTTCTGGTCTGTGAACCTGATCTGAATGCTGCATTTCCAGTCAGATGACCCAGTTAGTGTCAGCTAAAGACTTTATGACTGCAATCTTTTGCTAATCTGAAGCTCAAATCATACTCAAAACAGTCAAAACAATATAATTTTAAAACATTTAAAAAAAAATCCTGACCCAGGCTTCTTATTGGATATAACCACAATCAGTGCCTTTATAACCCTGTGGTTTGCTGTTCACCGTGGGGACGAGAAGAGGTCATCACCTGTTTGTCTGACCCGCTTTACTGCACTTGGTTTTTAAATGTGTAGAAAGTGAAAGTTGATGAATTAACCAAATGTTAATGGCATTTAATTAATGTAAATCTATCAAATTAATAGAAAGACCAGATTAAATGGTGTGCTAAGAGATTTGAATGTTCACTCTGGTCACTTCTCTGTCAGAGGCACTTTTTACCTCTAATTGACAATGATGCAGCTGTCGAGTGTGGTGCATTTTTGATGCTTCCTTTTTTATTTTTATTTTTTGTTTTTTGGGTTGATACTTTCCCGAAATTGTACACTTTACCTCAAACATGGACTTCAACTTATACATAATATAATAAGCAATGCATCAGTTTTCTGCAACATTTTATTCTGTCAAAATCAATTTTAATCTTCTGCATGTAGCAGCTGTACTATCCACACCTTGCACAGGTAACAGTTTTAAGCTACACCACGCATTCCTCACTTGTTCAAACATTTTAAGTGTTCGACTGCGATTATGCACGCTTGTAGCTGTCATGCGTTCCACCTCCCAAAGCTACGGCTAGCTGATTCTCTTTGAGTCTGTCTTTATTACACAGGCTGTGGTGCTCCTTGTACAGCAACGCTATGGTAACTAAATACAGCACGAGAGTTTCAGAGGAGTTTTGAATTGAACACCAGCGAATAGTGTGTGTTTCCCACTTTTCTACCGGCCCCTTTTTCATGATATTACTGGATGTATAACATGGCACTCGGCGTAAACCTGTGGCACAATGTTGTGGTGTTGGTTCCTAGTAAGAAAACATTTCTATGTCTTCACCCTGGAGAGAATACAAATTTTGTTAAAAACACTGGATGTAATGATGGGTTTTGACTTGCAGTAAGTTCTTCTGCAATCAGACGTCTCAGAATTCACACCCCTGCTTCAGTGGGTGTTAAGAAGGATTCTAGTAAATATAGGAAGGCTGTGGAAGTGTGTGCACCACAAAATAACCTCTGAGCTCAGTGATATCTACTGGGCATGTTTCACCAGCCTGGAAATGTGCAAAAGTTAACTGAAACACATAAAGCTTCTTCCTCAGCTGACTAAAGCTGACACTGTTTAATTTGAGCCAAATAAATCAGCGAAGAAAATCACAATGGAGCATTAGAGCCTCAAATATAACAATTTTTCCAGCCAGTAATGATCATCGACAGACTAAATACACAAATTATAATCCACCTTTTCTATGTACTCACTGTTATACTGGTTTGAATATGTTAGTGGAAACTTAGTGTGAGACCAGAAAAGTGAAATGTCTGACTTCATATTTATTCTTTGTATCATAATATATATATTTCATAATAATTCATTAAAACATTAAAATGATAAAAGGTTTTAATGTATTTTGCATTGCATAGACAAAAGGTGTTCAGAGAACATTTGAAGGTTATGTTGTCACTATTGATCATTACACCTGTTCTCTAATCCATGAACGACCATACTACTGTTTCTCAATGCTCCTATTATACTCATATGAATTTAATAAAGTTATTCCATACTTTTCAGGTTTGAAGTGATGTTTCCTTAACCACTGAGTGATTTGAATAGCAGAAATGTGTTGTTGGCTGCCAACTTTATACAGTTCTTCTACATGAAATATAGATACAGAACTAATGTTAGGTCTTACTAGAAATTAATGAAATATAGATACAGAACTAATGTTAAGTCTTACTAGAAATTAGTTAGTTGTTTTGGGGTGATTTATGCACATTACTCCAGTAAAGGCAGTAGAAAGTTGGCCATAGTGCTAGCATGGCTAAAAATGAAAACAAAATGATACCACACAAAATATTAATGATCATCTTTATCTCCAAAATGTGAAACAACCCCAGTGAAACACAAGAACTCTACAGTGCTCTCCCTCTTCTCCTTCCTCTCCCTGGTGCCCTACTTCCTTCTCATTCCTGAATGCATCTTACTCTGACCTGCATTTAAATGCACAGATCTGCATGCTGGCCTTGACTGCCTGTGTGCTGCTGCAGCTCTGCTTTAACTGATCATTACTGCAGCAGTGTGTCATGCCTTTGACGTAGCAGCTCCACATACTGTGCCATTCAGAAGAATTACTGATGAACACTATGTTTTCATATCCAGAGACTATTTAAATTCTCACAAAGCTCCATGAGAGACTGAAGAAATGGGTCATGTGACCATCCTATGTGCAGCATGTTTTGTGTTTATGCAGTGTGCCTCAGCTACAGTCTATGTTGTCTTACTCTCTCTGCTCTGTGCTCTAGTCTTGTGCTGGCTGAGAATCTGTTGGGCGATTAGAGCAGATTAACATAATCTTGATCAAGAGAGCAAATCCAAGGTGTGCATCACTCTCTCCACAGGCAGGGATGGGACAGACTGCCACATCAGAGCGAGGCTATGAGGACCAGCAGACAACTTGTCACAATAACATGTGAAAGCTGTGCTTTTTGTGACTAAAGTGGAACACTGGTGCTGATGTGTTTTTACATGGAAAAAAACTGATTGCTGGTATTTTGTGTTGTCTGTGTCAGCTTCCTCTGTAAAACTGAAGCTCCTGAGTTATACGGTTTTTATTGTCGCCCTCTTCAGTCTATGGATCCCAGTGTGACCAACTCAGACAAACCTATTAGTGTTTCAGATCTGGTCTGTGTGGTTTGGCTGACAACTGACTAGTCAGTACTTTGACATAAATGCACATGACAGCAGAGGCAGAGGCTTTTGTACAGATTTACAGTTCAGTGATCCAGACCTGGCAAAAGGCTGTGAGGTGATTGCTGTTACAGTAATCCGATTAGTCAGACTGAGGTTAAACTGCTACTAATACTAATACTAATACTGTAAGGCGTGTGATATTGAAATAGATACATTCCTTTCAACATTTCTGCTGCGCGTCAATGAAAACACCAGTTTCTCTCTGGCAGAATGAGATGGTTGGTATGTTCTAGTGGAGTGTATTATGACATTTTTGTGTTAAAAACTCAGGATGAATCAGATTGTGTTACTCTCCATGGAGACTGTAGCACAAATACACCCAGGGTGAGGACACCTAACAAAACATTCCATATTCGTGTGCTGTCTCCTGAACTATTCATAGACCAGTAACAACATGAAGGTGTGTACAAGGCAACACACATACACATAGAAACAACTTGTCACACAAATATCAGCAATACAATAAAATACAAACATTTTATTTGATCTCTTAATGCCTTTTCTTTATAACAGGCAGCTCTGAGGGCAACATTTGTCTACAGTGTTTCCTGTGTTCCTCTGCAGCCTGTGGCTATTTCAACATTACATCATTATTTGGTAAATGGTTTTATACTTGTATAGCGCTTTTCTATGCATTGGCCATTCACACATTCACACACCGGTGATATCATCGGGACCATCCTGCTCAAAGACACTTCAACATGTGGACTGGAGAAACTGGGAATCGAACCACCACCGTTCCGGGTTGGAGACGACCCCACTCTACCTCCTGCCACAGCCGCCCCATGCTCATCGCTTTTATATCATAATCAGCTTTCAACACCATTGTCAAAAATATAGGCACCACTGACTGGCTTTTACAGTGTGCTTTTTATTAGTTGTAACTGGAGGATAATTTGTGACAAAACAATGAGCTGGGTGCACATTTTACTGCACAGAGTTCAGACTTTATGGTGATGGCAGATGGTGGAAGGAATGAAATACAGATGAAACAAATCATTGGTAAAGATAAAAATAGAGTGAAGACATGTCAGTGTTAAAGTCTTCATTAAAAATCCTGTCTGTGCACTGTAACACTGTTGTATTTGATTTTAGACAAAGCCCAAGATGAATGATGTCGTTCCTACTATCACACGAGCAAACATACAGTAGAAGCTTTTAGTACAATAAGAGGAAAGCGAACATTTATCTGTGTGTGAGTTAAAGTAAGCACTTCACCACTGAGCTGAAGAATGTGGAGTGTGTTGGCTGGCTCCTGCCCAGACAGAGAAGTAGTTATTGTGAAATTAAAGCCTCAGGGTCTGTGTTTGTGTCATTCCTAGAAAGCTGTGGAATTACAGCCTGTTTGGCAGTGATTCAGATCACGGGAGAGTCCCACACCGTGTAAACTAATGTTTATAAACCAATCAAATCAAGTCAAAGTCTCACTGGAATCTTGACTTGGGAGCTCATTGTCCACGGCCACCTCCTTGATATCCCTTCAAAATGAAGATGGACCTTTTTGTGTAAGAGCACAGCATGAAACAGAAATGTGTCTTCTGCTCCTCCCTGCCTCAGTTTGAGTAGCCAAACAATAACTCAGCCTGCAGCCACTACATGTTCACAAAGGCTTTTCTTTGGCTGATGTCACCATGAAGCACCAGGCAGACCTCCACCACACAGGGAGCAATAGGTTTTATGTTTCAGGGTGGTTCTGAAGTAGACTGAACTTACCTACTGGCATGAGCAGCAAACAAGAAAACAAAAAACAAAAACAAACAATAAAAAAGGGAAAACCACTTCACAAAACCATATTCTTTCTCTTTTCCAACCCTGTGTGTAGAGGGTTTATTAGAAACAGCCTCTCTTTGGCACAAGTCGACTTCCATGCTCTCTTGATCACCTCTGAGGTTACTGATGCTTCTCTCACATTTTCATTTTAATGTCCTGGACACTCCATGGAAGCTTCTTACAGGCCTGAGCCACACACATCTCTGACAGCACTCCTACACATACAGCACTCAGTGACAGACGCCTGCTGCTGTTCAGGATCACTGCAGAAAAGATAAAGGAGAAAAGGGTTAAGAAAATTATAGAAAGACACATTTTCCCACAGTTTTTTTTTCATGTTAGCAACAGTACGTCCAAAAAAATCAGGAATCATACACACAATGTGCAAACCAGCAGTCAAACACAATGAGCGGATTTATGTTTCCAGAGCTGCTGCTGAAGAAATAATTACACAAGAAACATGGGCTGTGTAACAGATTTATTTTCAGAGTCTGGGTCCTCTGTTGTCAGGAGATTTTTGTGTTATCACTTTCTAGTGCTTTAAAGTGTTGTTTTAAGAATGTAGTAACAGCACTATGTACCACTGATGTCTCACAAGGTACAAGCTTATTATTATAAATAATATCAATAATCAATGTTCCATAAAGGTTTCAAAGATTTCTCTAAAATAATGAGAAAAATATTTTTGGAAAAGCCTGTTTTATTTGCGAAATACTGGTACAACGTATGCTCCTTATTCAAAATTATTAGGCATTTCCTTAAAAGCTCTTTCTCATACGTTTTTTTAAATTGTACTATCAATTTTTTACTGTAGCTGTACGAGAAGCTCTGTCAGGCTGTAGTTAAGCACAGTGGTAATTTGAGCTGCGAACATGCCATAACAATGTTTATAATCTTTGTTTGGTGTGTTAGCATGCTAACATTAGCACCAAACATGGTACAGCTGAAGCTGATGGGAATTTGTTCTGCAGGTATTGGATAAACAAATTCTGACCTGTTAATGGTGCCAGAGGATTCAAGGTGCTTTTTTTTATTTTGCAGTTTACCCTCTGGGAAACATGAAATATTTCAGTCTGGCTGCAAAGTGAAAATGTTCCCTACCTCTGATGGCCTGTGAGTTTGATGTGAGCACAAATAGTTTGATGAGGCCCAGACAGAGCGGGGAGTAGTCATGTTCCCAGATGACAGTGGGTATTAGAAGGACTTTGCCGTAGCAGGACAGCAGCAGGGCTCTGAGGAGCAGGCTGAAGTCTATGGCTCCACCCTGCAGTTGAACCACCACCAGCCAAAGGAACCACAGCACACTGATGCAAAACGCTGACAGCTCTGCAGGTCCATCACGCAGACACGACAGACGATCACCAACAACATCAAACAGCACCAATATGTATTTAGTGACAAATCTTAATGAGTCTATAGTGCAAAACCATCTGACAATGTTAGACCTGCATGTATGGATGTGTCAGTGTGTTAAACCTGTATTGCCAGCATTTCCTCATTCTTCATGAGGAATTCCTATTTTCTCTTTTATAACATTACAAATCAAAAATATTTAGGATTCTGATTGACTAAATGATTTATACTGTATATGTTTATTGAATTAAAAAAATCAGCAAATGAATCTGCAGCCAAGCTCCAGGATATGAGCATAGCCCATTTCCACCCACATTTTCTATAAAATGTTGTGAAAAATGTTAATTTTTAGTTTCCATGTATTCAGAGTGACACTTCTTATATTTCATGCTACACTATGGCTGGGATACAAACAGCATCTATCTGACAGATGTATAATTCATCTCTTGATGATCTCACCGAGGGTGGCTGATCCAAACATGGCATAGAACTCCCATTCCTTCGTGTACCTGATGATGTCAGCAGGGTCATTGCTCTGCTCAGAGCCGTGGAGCAGAGACCACCTGAGGTATGCCTCACACAGTAGGCAGAACACACACAACTTCCAGTGGATCTGGAGAGGTGAAGGAGGACACGCAGGATCACATAAATGCTGTGGTGAAATGAGTATGACACCAAGACTGACAGGATAAGACTTTACACTAAATTCATTTGGCAGATGTTTTCTCTGAAGCACATAAGTGTCCTACTCAAAAAACACTATCAGTGTGCTCAGATGTTTTTTTTTCATAAACTGAGACATTAATAAGTGCTAGTATGGGTGTAGTCTACAGTTTTCAGTCTGTGGTGGAAGATGCACAGTCACTCTCCTTACTTACATTCAATCTTGTGTTGAATAAAATGTGCCTAAAAGCCTGCGTCTTGCACAGAATGGCATCAATCAGGATGATAACAGGGTCATACTCTATGTACTTGTCCACTGGCTTCTGGCAGGACCCCTGGAGACACACACACACACACACAGAGTAATGTCAACACTTATACCCGCTCAAAGAATCGTTGCAAGTGTTATTTAAACGTTGTTGCTTAAGGATTATTACCATTAAGAGATGATCCCACTAGTTCATAGAAAACGGTTAAGGGATGTTATCCAAGCTGTGTTTATTTGCTTGCATGTACTGTATTATCTGTTCAGTTTGTTCAGCTGTTACAACATTCAAACAAAACAACCAGTTCTGATGCTACACACAGGTGTAAGGTTACCTGTATGTCGCTCTACACTGGCATGACTCAAAATGTCATAATGATACAGTTACCTGTATGTCGCTCTACACTGGCAGGACAAAATGTCATAATGATACGGACATCGACCTATGTCATATGTCATAGTTAACATAGATCATACATATTTAAATGCTTTAATTTAAGAATTGAGAAAGTTAATAGGAAATCTAGGTTGGGCTACGTCCTTAAGGCAAACCATGTTAGCTAGCATCTTCATCACAACCTGTAACCAAACGGCTCAAATTCAAGATGTTAAAGGTTAACGCACACATATGGTTAGCTTCAGGATCCCGTTGTTGTAATCCCGGTGCAGTTCAGTTGCTTTTTCGTTACATTCAACACATCTAAAGGCATCTTTCCCCATGATTCCATGTAATCGCCTACAACAAGCCGCTAGCATGAGGGACAACTAAACAGGAAGTAAGATGGCTCCAGAATTCCACCTTCAGAATAAAGGTTCAAAATCAGAAAGGTTGAAGTGTCAGGCTCTGTGTTTTGTGGTTGAATCTGATTTGATGTTTTTACTTAGGTTTAAGAAGTTAAAGATGTAAAAAGGAAATTTAAAAACGAGATTCTTCTCTGCTACAATATTATGCCATACACTACAACGTTAAACTATAATGTAATATTCAGCGGTGACATTTAACTGAGTACATTTACTTAAGTACAGTTATGAGTGAGTGCAGTGTAATTTTGTACTTACACTTAATGCTATTTACAGTTTTATATAACTATTACATTCATTTTACAGCATAAACTATATACAATAGCTGTTACTGTAACTGTAACACTAATAATAATATCATAATGTAGGCTAATATACTGTATAATAAAACAGTACTGACAGGAGCCATTCTGCTACCTAATAAGTACTTTTCCTTTGACACTTTAATTATTTAATCTTATTACTTCTGTATTGTTATTTTGTTTATTTAATCTTTGTAACTAAGTAAGGGATTTTAATGTTCTCCAAACACTGACTGTACTAGGCCTACTATATTATAATAATATTAGAAATAAATGAAAATGTTAGTTAAGGATGAACTCCAGTTTGTAATCACTGTAGTGCCAGAGGCCATTTGAAAACAGTAGGAATAAAATGGCCTAAATGTGTCTGTTAATGTAGGAACCAATACAGTTGTGTGCGAGAGCGGAATGAGTAATTTCATGCATATAATAATATAATAAGTCACTTTATTCAGTAGCTGGTTATGTACAGTATATGTAAATATACAGTATAACAAGTATATGTAGTTGGCTATATACAGCATGTATAAATGTATGTTATTGCACAGTGAGTCTTTAAAATTATAAATAGCATAGTTTATAATTTGTAGGCACAAGGAATGCTTTAGTTTAAGACTTTTTAATCCAGTGTATGACATTGTAACTACTGAAATCAGTGTTTTTAAGGACGTTTTAAGACCTGCATTGTTATTATGGCTGACAGTTGGGGAGCTTCGTTTTAAGTTGAAGTTTAGAACCAAAACTAGTTTTTTGTTTGTTTTGCTTGACATCACAACACTAGAGCACCCGGTTTGACAGCCGCAGAGCATCTCGGTTAATGTAGTATAATGCGGTCGTCATGTTCGCTTCCCCCAGACTGAGGGGGGCGTGTTGGTTCGGTTTGGTCGAACTGCAACAGCTTCCGCTGTCACACATGTAGCACAACATGGCCCCTTCCAGCCGGGCTGTTGTTGTGGTAGTGCTTTCACTACTGCACTTGTCTCGGACTATCTTCTCCACCGAGTATTTCTCTACGCTGACTTTGTTCAACAATGAGCTCCACAGGCAGGGATGCAGCTCGCTGTCCGAGTGGGAAGAGTACGCGGCGGACTGCGGTAAAGTCTCTGTTGTCGCGGTTACTTTGCCACGTCCTCGTTGATTCAACTCGCGCTGTGCAACCCGGCTAGCTTAGGCGTTTGTAAGCTAACGTTTAAGGGGCTAATAACAACAATGAGTGACAGCCCAGAAGACACAACTGTGATAAGCTCTTGCTTTTTCTGCTGTTGAGATTATAAAAACAGGTTTGAAATCAAAGATAAAAAAAAAAAAACAAATAACACGAATAGTAACCAAAGAGTGAAAGCATATCCATGTGTACAGTAACTCTAAGGCAACTTTAAAGTGTATTCACAAACTGCATTTTTAGCTAGCCCTCAAAACCAAACTCTATTCAAAAACACGGAACTTTGGTGCTGTCTTGGATTACAGCAACATTAAATATCTAACACAGCAAAACTGGAACATTATTCTTATTGCAGCTTGCTTCTGTTAGATTCTGCACATAAATGATGCACCCACCACTCAGTTCCTATAGTGTTTTACTGTTATTCTTTCTGTGTAGTACTTTGGTGGAAGATGCCTGAGAGAATGAGAGCAGTGCTGTTTGGTTTAATGAATGTGTGCTCAGTGAGTAGACACTCTTAATGTGATTTTTAAGACATTATATATCACCACAGCAGTGTTTTTTGCATGTTTCAGCCCAAGTTTATTGTTTTGATCATTTTCCAGGCAAGATGCCAAAATAATTAGCTTATTTTCTTTGCTGGGTCTGATATTAAACGAAATTTTGTTCGGAGCTAAGGGGCCCCGGGCCGCTGCGTGCATGCTTAACAGACTTTGGTATAAATTTAATCTACAGCTTTAAACTGCCAAATGAAGCAGGTGTGTAGCTCTCTCTATAGGGTGACCAAAAATCAGTACAAGTGATACACAGTGAACCTAAGTGCTGACATGCCTTGTCGATTTGGAATTCACCATAAATGGGTCCAGGTCAGCTCGACATCGCGGACATGTTTTGATTGAACTCTTATACTAGTTAAATGCAACCTGGAGGATGAATGGTTAGACGGGGGGGCTATTTGTGATTGTAATTTTTAAAAATGATTGATGTGTTCACATATTTTTTCAGAGTCCACACTTTTACAGTTGGAAGACCCAGACTGTGAGGAGGGAAGCAACCCGCCCTGCGAGTCAGTCTTCTCACTTAACGCAGAGAAGATCCTGGTGAGATTTTACACACAGATACAGACACACACACACACACCAATCATATGTAGAAGAACATGGTTTCTAACGGTTTCCTTTAGAAAGAAAAGCTTTCTTGTTGATTCTGATCTGCTTGTTTTGATCTCAACAGCACAACCTTGTGCTATGTCCTAAATTTCTGTGTGACACAGTTTAAAGTCTGAATCAACTGATAAAAGTTTATTAGCTGTTATTCCTTCCTATTGTTGAATAAAGTTTGAAAAATGTTATTTCGATGTAGTGGTTACTCTGGCTGTCAGTGCTTGGTTCCTGGTTTGATATTCTGATGTTTTAAGTTGTACCTCATTGAAGAAAATTACGATTCACACTGTCTCTTTATGTACATGGTGACTGTACATATGTTAAAGGTAAATAAGCACAGCAGTTTAAAAGTGAAGCTGAAAAGCACTGTTTTACCATCCCCTTCTTGTTGAACCTCGGAACGGCGTCACTGTCGGTCATTGTACGCTGACCACACCCTGGACTACACTTCTGCATCACTGCAGTGAGCTGAGAGGCACAGGAGGCCAGCAAAAATAGTGTATACTGGTATTAAGTTCCTTAAAAAAGCCTTAAATGTGAAAAACATTTGCATTGAAGAAAGTGTCCTCCATAATGAGCCAGGAAGGGAGAAATGAGCTTCAAACATTTGACCACATGCCAGAGATGTGTGATTCTGATGATACTGCTTATGTTACATGTGTTGCTAGGCCATCTGATGTGCTAAATTTTGCAAGGTATTGTCTTGTTGCTGGTTTGGAAACCCAAAATGCTGCCACAGCCACATTTGCATGGTGTCAAATTTGCATCCTGTAGGGCATGGTGCTATTCTCCATTTGGGATTACACAGTGAGGACAATGTGCCTTGCAGAGAAGGAGAAATGAGCCCTTTTATATTTATATTTAATAGTACACAAGAATTAGCTTGGCAATAGGAAGTATGCTTGACATTCCTCGGGTGAACCTTGAAAGAGTAAAGCTTGATGAAAGCCTTTTATACGTATAAGTGTCAGTAATTTTTTACTTCTTCTGTGTTTCTTCTTTGTTTGGTCAACCTGTCACTGGCTTCACAGAGGAAATCTATGTTTTACTGTTTCCTTTGCGTGCCAGTGTGTACTCCTATTTTCATCTTGCTGCGTTGTTTTTTCTATATCTGTCACAGAACCAGGCCAAGCTGTTTATAGAACAGAAAAAAATCCCCTTCCCTGTCGATAACCACAACATGAATGAAGAACTCGGTAAGTCGGCGAGTCGTTCCTGAACAGAACGATATGACTGTGCTGTGTTTTGCCGGTGATTCATCATTATTTGTTGTTTCTCTGCAGCTATAGGCTATGTTCTGATAGGCAACGGCCTTTATGATGAAGCCATCAAACACTTCTCACTTTTACTACAGGTGTGTTTGCATCCATTTAAGTTACTAAATTGTCTCTCATGACACCTGTTAGGAATGAATCACTTCATATTTTGCACTGTCCCTCAGAAGTAGAAATAAAATGCAACTTAATTTCTTTGGGCTCAAACCAAGAATGTTTTCCTGGTGTGTTTTGCCTTTGACACAGGGTGACCCAGAGCTGGTCAGTGCCATTTATGGCAGAGGAATAGCTTATGGGAAGAAAAGTCTACAGGTGAGTGATAGTTGTAGAACACAACTGCACCATTCGGCATTAATCACACACCGGTTCCTAGTTTTATTTTTCTGCCTTTCCCTGACATTCTTGTTGAACTGCATGTTAATGTAATTTCTGTGTATCTGTGAGGCACCTTGTAACTCATACAAGGTACATAATGTTTGTTTATTCACTTGTCAGCAATTAAATGCAGTGGAAATGTTCCACAGAAATTACCACCAGCTTTTCTTGTGTCTTCAGGTTGGTTAGAGTGTTTACAGTGTCATAAATGGAATAATTAAGTTTTGGCTAAAGTTAATTTGTTGAACTCTGATGACAGCAGTTTCGGGTGCAGTGAGCACAGAATGACCTTGCAGTTATGGAAGTGTTCCCTCCAAAAACAGCTGGACAGCAGTTTTTTGTGTCTTTAGCTGTTTGTTGCTATGTCTCCAGTTTTGTTCACTATGAAGCTTTATATCAACTGCCCTCCCCCTTCTTGTGTCTTCATGCCAGGACATAAAGAATGCTGACCTGGCATTGTACGAGCTCAATCGAGTCATCACACTCGAGCCAAACTGGCCAGAAGTCTACGAACAGAGAGCAGAGGTAAGGCGCAACTGTATACAGAGGTGAGGTGACAAAAGGTGGTGGCTTCATGCCAATACCCATTGAATGAACGGAGTTTGCCCTCTAGAGTTCCTCTAATAGTTTAAAACACAATACTGTTTTTATCCTCCAAGGTCTTTTTTGAGTTGGTTAGTGTCACTGAGTGGTGCCGTGGTCTTGTTATGTATAATTAATCTGAATATG